TAAGGAAATGATCCAATTTCATTTTTCTGCATGTGGCTGTCCAATTTTCCCAACACCATTTATTGAAGAGGCTGTCTTTCTTCCATTGGACATTCTTTCCTACTTTGTCGAAGATTAGTTGACCATAGAGTTGAGGGTCTATTTCTGGGCTCTCTATTCTGTTCCATTGATCTATGTGTCTGTTTTTGTGCCAGTACCATGCTATCTTGATGATGACAGCTTTGTAATAGAGCTTGAAGTCCGGAATTGTGATGCCACCAACTTTGGCTTTCTTTTTCAATATTCCTTTGGCTATTCGAGGTCTTTTCTGGTTCCATATAAATTTTAGGATTATTTGTTCCATTTCTTTGAAAAAAATGGATGGTACTTTGATAGGAATTGCATTAAATGTGTAGATTATAAGCGGCCATTTTTCATCCCCTGTACCAGAATTCCCAGAGGCCTGCTGATGTCCTGGGCCCTTGCACTGACTGCTTGGGCCCTGGCAGATTCAGGACTGGGAGCTTCCTTTACCATCTCAGTGTGGAGGTCCTGGGTGCCCATATTCCCCCAGCAGCCAGAAGGGTAGGAGCAGCTGCCCCCCACCCCAAGTCAGCCCTGGAAGGCAGGGCAGGCTGTGTCTATGCATTCTCTCTGGTCCCAGCACTCACCAAACCTCTGGAGCAGATGCTCAACAAATTGGCTGAGTTTGAGCACAGAGGTACACATATGTACTTTGAAAGCTCTAGGAGGGATCATACCATGTAGGTAGAGTCATGTCTTCAAGATCTTTCCCGTGGAGATACTTCAGTTTTTATGTATATAGCTATCCAAAAACTTCTTCAAATGCCTTCACTATAGTCTCTGGAAAAGAGTAACATAATTTAGCTGATTCCCTATAAATGAACATGTGCTGCTTTTCCAAAATCCTCTAAAAAACCCAGCCTTAGGTGCATATCTCTAAATAAACTCCTAAGAGTACAGTGGCCAGTACCAAGATTATGCACAGTGAAACTTGGACATATATTGCCAAATTACTTTTTTAGTGAAGTTAACTCATTTTACATTCCCACCAAAATTCTTCTTTGCCCATATCCTCAGCAAAACTGGCTATTGGCTGTCTTAGACAAAAATAATCTTATTGGTGTTTTCACTTGTATTTCCTTATTTAATGAAGCCAAGCATCTTTTCATATGCAATTATTGATCCCTATTCTTTTGTGAATTTCTTGTTCTACCTCCATTTTTTCCTTAGTGCTAGTTTTCCTCTTAAATTTGCATGTGCTCAAATCTGTTTTTCTTCAAGAGCAGCAGTTTCATGCCCACTTAGAAATATCTTTCCAAGCCCATTATAGAATTTGTTGCCCATGCTTTTGCTGTAGCACTTGTTTTCATTTTCTAATGTTTAATTAAGTTCATGAGCCAAGTGGAATATGTTCTGATGTAAGATGTGAAGGATAGAGAAACTTCATTTTTTCCCAAATGGCTGGCACACTGGTCCAGAATCACATCTCAAACAACCTATTTCTCCCTCACTGATCTAGAATGCCTAACCCATTTTTCTTTTTTAAAAGTAACAGGTGCACACAATATAAAAATAGTATGAAAGGGCAAACTGAAATGTAACCTATTCCTGACCCTCAATTCTCTTGTGAATGTTCTGCCACCATAAATAGCAGTGGAACATGCTGTTTCCATTCTTCCCTTGGTTCAAACAGCTCTGCAACTAATATCCTTAGGTACTGCTCACAATGAAGAAGTAAATCTACAAAATTCCCCAAAGTAGAACTGATAGGTCAGAGAATATGGGCATTTGAAAATTTGGTATTGCCAAACTGCTCTGCAATGATGTGGCACCACAAATTTATATCTCCACTAAAATGTGTCAAGTATTGTTTGACTAATCTTTTTCAAGTTTGGGATAATTTTATAGGCTATGATGCTCACTTTTCTTTGAGAACTTGGGACATGACAGAGTAATGAACATGAAATTCCTTACAATTCTTTTCTGAACTCCAGTGTTCATTTTGTGGGTAGGTAGTATCAAAAAGTCCTCAAGGATTTATAATCTAGAGCTGTCTTGAAAGCATGTGTGACCAATATATGGCTAAATTAGTAATGGTAGTGCAGTCCTTTGGGCAGCACAGAGCTGGAGTCATGGGGAAGTGTGATGGAAGCATGCTACTGGATTGGAAATCCTGGATGAAAAGAATTACCTTACTGGTGAATGGGCTGAGAGGTAACATTCTTGCTTGAAGAACAACAGATGGTAGATTAAGGAGTGGGAATGGCACTTAAATCCTCTGTATCAGATGGAAGGCACTGATATGGAGGGGTAGGGGTTAAAGAAAATGAGGTTAACTTCACAGGAGTGTTAAAACATTCATTAAAACCTGTTACACAGAAAACTATTAGTTCTCATCCCTCTAGATTCTGGGGTGCATGACTGTAAGATAGATAAAAGAGGCTAACATCACTCAATTTTCCAGAATGCTTCTGAAAAGTTAGCTTATGAGAAGTGAGAAAAGTAAAGCTAGCATTATGTCATTAGTGCTTTGGGTGTCAAAATGGCCATTTGGCCAGTTAATGGTCTATTTTCCTTCCTACCCCAAACATATCGCTCTAAATTCCCCTCCGCTTACCACCCCCCCACAAAAAAACATAAAGGTTGCTTCATTTCTACTGGTTCCTGCGAGTGTTTTGAAATTTTGCTAGTCTAAAAACTGGGAATCCTAGCTCTCAGGGCCTTCCTGTTTTATTCAGCAGCCTCAAATATCAAAACTTTGTTGACTGGGAAGGGAATTATAACATAATGTCGAAAAGAATTCTACACAAGATAATACCCATTATTCAGCATTTTGACAGCCACAATTCAACAATGCTTATAGGGTTTCAAAGGTACTTACAATCCTAAAGTGACTTTTGAATTGAAAATCAACTTATGTTCAGTAAAAGCAAATTTAAAACCTTTTGAATAAAGCAATCTATACCTCAGGCCTATGTAAACTAAAACACTGCTGCACTCAAATAGTACCTGTCTTAGATGTGGTTCCTCCCAAATTATTAGATAATTCTCTAAACACTACTTTATCAAATTTGCAACATGACCAAAATAATAGTTATTCTCTCATTTGGTAAATACCACTTTATAACAACAACAACAACAACAACAACAAAAAACCTGTTCTTTCAGGACTTTATTTTGTTTATTAATAAAGTAAATCATTATTATGATTTTTGAAAAAAAAGTTAAAAAATGTTCAGCCTTCATGTTAATGTAGATTAGGCCATCCAAAAGGCAAAGCAAAGAGTTAACATTAAGTCATGGTCCAGGATTATACTTATGAGAAACGGATACAGGACTTACAGTACTTGATAAGTAAAGACAACCAAAATAAACTGTATTTCAAATTTGTTTCTATAAAAACATATTAAAGATTACTTTAAAATAGTGTCCATCTTTTCTTTTAAATGGGCATAGCCTCATCTGCAGTCATGTACAAATATAATAAACTTGACTAATAGCTTTCTTAATCTTTTAATACAAATACGATTCCTTGCCTTTATGCAACCCAACAAAATAATATAAAGTGAAGTCATTAGAAAAATATGGACCTTTCTGAATCTATATTGCATTTTTAATTTAGACTGGAAAATACAGTTCAGATCATATCAAACACATGGATTTCAGGCTTACATATTACATGTCTTACAAATTATCAGATATGGTTCTTTATTTTGGCTGAAATGCAAAAATATGATTAATTTCTTAATAATAGATTAGTTATTTGAAAAATAGTTTCCATTGATAGCAGTGCTAGTCCTAGAACAAAACATAAGCAAAACATATTTGTAAGTCACTGTCTATTCGGTGCCCCAAATACATAGATCCTAACACTAAGCCCTTACTACACATTTGCTTTAAAGATTACTGAATGGACATCTCATGTGTCCGATAATCTTTAACTTGAACAACCCTGTAAACATAGTCAAAATCTTTCAAAAGGAATTAAAATTCAAGTAAACACTGCATATTTGATTTAAACTAACCTTACAATTAAATTCACCTATAACACATTGGATCAAAACCATTCAATATGTAAAAAGGTTTTTAAAAATCATCCACATGTAAAGATGGAATTAAACTCTGTAAACATGTTTGTGTTTAATAACTACTGTACTGCAGCTGCTCTTTGGTTTGGCAAAGTGATATTGGTCAGATGCCCCAGGTACTGAATATTCGAGTAAATCTTTACCCAGGTAAAACCAAGACTCCTGTCGACTTTGTCTTTAATGGCAATGGCAAGACTTGAAATTCAACTTTATTTTCCTTAAATATCACACCACAACTATTCAAGTGTTTGACGGATCATAGATAGCACTAATACATTTTGAAGGCTTTCATTTTGACCATTCCCCCCACAAAGAGTTGATAGAACTAATCAATATCAGTTCAAATACCAAAGAGGCAGCCTTGCCCTGACTCCCATGCAGCTTGTAGGCCCTTGCTGAACGACCAGTAATATGTATGAATAAATCAGCCAAATATTTAGAATGTGGCAAAATGTTGGCTATAAATTAAAGCAAAGATAACTAAAGCAAAAGGCTTCAAGTGAAAATTTCTGAAAAGGTGTTTGCTATGCTATTAAAGATGATGGTGAAATACAACTTAAAAGAGAAAGATACACCACCACAAAAGTGCCTGGATAGGTTAAAGGGGAAATTTATGTTTCCTCAATTGTTAATCATGAAAATGCATGAAAATCCTTTGATCTAAATGTAAAAATGCTCACAAAAAGTACCAGGAGAATAATTCTGAAAGTAGTCAAGTAGGTTTAAACATTCACAATTTCCTTATAATACACAAAATGCCAAAATGAAGTGATATTTTGTTATCCCTTAACTCTCAGTTCTAGAGTCAAGATTATTGGGACGACAAAGTTGAAATAAAGATAGAAGAATCATAATAATAGTATTCCAAACTATATTTTCAAAGCTAACTCGTTCCTTTGGTTCAAAAGGAAAAAAAAAACCCACATAACTTCCTTTTAAAATCTAGTATTAGTACGGCCAACAGAATTAGACAAATCCTCTGAACTAATACCTGGAATAGCTGAGTATAAAATATATGCTACATTAGGAAATCATAGCACTATCTCTAGCATATGTTTGGCATACAGAAGATACTCCAAAAATATTTGTTGGATGAATGAAATGTAAGGTTAATTTTGCAAAATTAAGAATCAAAGAATGTGAGAGATCACCTAGTCCAACTCATGAATAACACGCTTTCCCCCCAATTCCATTTTACAGATAGGGAAATTGTAACGGTTGATATTTACAGATGCTGGTTAAGATTTATCTCTACCCGATGCTGGAAGCAATCAATCATTTTGCTTTGTGAATATTTGACCAAACAGGATATGTGAGGAGTAATATTTCTACCTGGCTTCTCCTTTATAGGATACAGTATTTGCCTTTAAAATTAATGCAATAATTCCTGTCACTTAGATTGCATTTCAAAAGAAAAAGGAGATCTAGGTCTACCAGGCAGAAAGGGGCTGGTGTTTAGAAAGTCAGATTTAAAATTTTGTGTGTAAGAGTGGAATCCACTGCTCAGACTGGAAGTCTTAAATGACTGCTTAGGTTAGAATTTCTTTCCAGAAAGCAGAATTACACTAAACAGTTTTACCCTAGTTCAAACTGCCTTTCAGTCATTGTTTAAGCTGTTACTGGAATACTGTAAAAAGTTTCAAAGTAATTTCTAGTAATCACCTAAATTGTTATTTGAAAGTCAACAGCATGTTGGGGCCAATACCTTGGGGCCATAAATAATTTTTAACAGCTTACAATACCTGCCTATTTTCCTCTTTACTTTTCTTCTAGCCACTGCCACTCTTCAGTGTCCAATATTTCTATAGCACATGTGCCTTTGTGACTCCCTGACCATGAAAATACCCATGAAAGTTCAACAAAAAAGTAATTTAAATGTAGCGAGAACCAAAAATGTTTCCTATACTGCCAAGTTTCCTTTAAGCCTTGGGCACAACACTACATTACATGGTTATATTAATGCTTAGAACTAAGCCATCAATGAATCATACAAATGTGCTCCATGTTTTAAATAATTATATTTAGATATCTGAATCTGAGTGTTATCTTATAGCCAACAATAAAAAACTTTATTATAAATGTTGAAAAGTATAAAACAGTAATTATAAATCAGCAACACCCAATAAAAAAAAAGTTATTTTCTTTTCCTTACACAGTATAAGCAACAGTAAATAGATATTATTATTCACTTTCAGCCACTATACTGCCCTACATGTACTTAAGATAACTTTTCAGCTTGTGTTTCAAGAGTGAAACTTTATATGGATACTAAGAAACAACTCTTAATTATTTAACTCAGATGTCAAAAAAATACATATACTCTGTTAACATGTGACTTGATAGCTCATAGTGTAGCATCTCATAACAGGTGGGTGTTATTTCCAGAGTAAAATTAAGTCACTTTTGTAGCAGTAAGTTGATGTAGCACAAATGGGTATATTTAAGATTAAGGCATCTTTCTGCGCTGGGGTAGTGCTTCTGTGGGTCCGGTGATCTGTACAAAGGCTTCCTTTTTAAAAAATATATCTTCTCTTATACTTCAGTTATTTCATTCCATTGATCATTTTCTTGCAAATAAAACTGAAAATATCAGTCCATAATATGTTTTTATAAACCTATAAAACCAGAAACAATTGAGTTATTGGTTAAAATTTGATTTTATATTTCTGAAAATAAAGGTATACTAAATAGTTCTGTGCACTAAGGTACAAAGCTGCTAAAATAACGAGATGGAATAAATATTTTAAAACTACTAATATTGTAGTAATAACGAAGATTTTTATGAACAGTGAGTGGTATCTCTTTCTTCCTCTGAAGCAATCAAGAGAGCATTTTAAAAGAGGTAGATTCTTACAGTTCTCCCTTAATGTTAACTTGGACATAAGCTGAGGAGATACCTTATTTACCTCTTTGTAAGACTGCTATAGGATATGGGGAACTACCCACAGCAACACTTACAGGCTGTGGAGCATCAGACATTATCCTAGAACCAGGACTATACTGCATTGAGAATCCTAGAACCAGGGCTATACCGCAGCCACAGTTCTGGCTGACATGATCACCACACGATATATCACCACTCGTCTTCGGAGTCCAGCCTGACACAAGCCCCCACTGAGAGTTCTGATTCAGTCTAGGTTTTAGCCTCTGGCTGTTACTTTGGACATGGGCTCTGGGTCCTCTGTAGGGAACTGAGCAGGGAAGCAGATGTTCATCTAATAGAGACTCCAGATGAGAACTCTTTGACAAAAATGAACTCCTGACACAGAGAAACTGAGGTAATAAATGGATGTTGTCTTAAGTTGCCAAGATTGTGATAATCTGTTATGGAACAAAAGGTAACCAATACACACTATAAAGAAGATTTCAAAAAATCTAATAGCTGCCTAAAATGCTACTGAGTCACTGAGCTAAGCATCAGAAGAGACAGAGAATTCACTACATCCCTCAAAATTCAACTTAGTTACATTACTCTCACTGCCGATACTACAGTTTATGTTTAATCTGTCTGGAATGTCCTCGATTGCTATTTAAATTAATTTCCTCTGGCTATTGTCTCAGGGCTATCCAGATTGAGAACAGCTCATCAGTGTGGCTGGGTCCAGTAAACTTATCTTTTGTTGTGTCTTTTCCAACTAAGTCCTATAGGTGAACCTCTTCAGTCTTTTCTGCAGCCTAATTAATCACTCTTCTTTCTTAAACTAATTAACAAGACACTGTTTACTGAAAAGATTAGTTGGTCCACATATCAACCCAAATCGGCGTTTAATTTCCTCATTAATCTACCAATACATATTTACAAAGATTGCACTAGGAGTGGTTAGAAAAATGGGATTTAAGCAGCTATTACCTTCCAATCTCTTCTGAACTATCTAATTTTGCTGATATAATTAAAAGAGAAAAAAAAATGACTTGCGAATTGTTCTGAGATTATAAAATATGCAAATAATTGCATTTGTTCAAGGAAAATTACCTTTATACTGTCTTACCTTGCTCTTATTCAAATGGTTAGTTATGAACAAGTGGTACTCAATTTTCTATTGCCACTGTAACATGGTTATTTGTCCCTGTAAGCACATAATTATATATGACAGGACAAAAAAAAAGAAGTATTAAGTTTCTGGCTAATTGGTAAAATTGATGATTACAGTAAAAGCAACTTTTATGTAAGCACTAAATAGGTTTATGGTGTCAAGCATTTATCCTCTTGGAGAACCCAGAAGTAAAGCAGTGCTAAGAGCTGAAAGTCTGGTTTTATGCTTATATCTGTAAAAATATCCATTGGCTTTTAAAGATGTTCAGCAGCAATAATTACAAGGCCCATGAAATGAATCTTTCCCTTGACCTACAAGGGTTCTAATGATCCTAATGAAGATCCTAATGATACCAATTCAAGAGAATAATTTAAGTGCTGCTAAAAGCCAAAAAAGAAAAAAAATCAGAAATACCACAGTAAGTTTTAAAGTTTTAAGGTATTTCCTCGAGTTGGCACCAAATGATCTGAATGTCCAAACATTTTCCCACAGTACAAGATGATGACAATGTTATTATTAGTACTGTTGAAAACCACCATGCATATATTTTAGGCTATAATGCTTGTTAGGTGGCCAGGCTATGTTATAAACACAATCTGGTTTGAAAGACCACCTCTGACTTATCAACTGTTCTATAATGCATCCACAATTCATTCATGATAAGATTGAGTCATCAAAAAAAGGTTAAAGTATATTTGCTACACTCTTTTTATATTGAAGCAGCAAAGACTACAATACATTTCAAAAGTTATTTTCAAAAAAGTAAAAGTTAAGACACTAAAGAATAATCTGGTTCAGATGTTATTCAGAATAGAGAATGCCAAAAGAACTTTCTTTATCTGAGGTAAAGAAGTATGTGGCTGGGTAACAAAAGAAAATCCCAACTCTGAACAGAACAAAACACAGCAAGAGCCACTATACATCCTCACTCAAACCTCCTTCTCCATAAAAGGTACCAATAAACACTGACACCCCATTTGTAAGGTATTTTTTTTTTTAAAGATTTTTATTTATTTGACAGACAGATCACAAGTAGGCAGAGAGGCAGGCAGAGAGAGAGAGGAGGAGGAGGCAGGCTCCCTGCTGAGCAGAGAGCCCGATGTGAGGCGATCCCAGGACCCTGGGATCGTGACCTAAGCTGAAGGCAGAGGCTTTAACCACTGAGCCACCCAGGCGCCCCTGTAAGGTATTTTATTAAAAAGTGTCACATATCTTAGTATTTTTTAAAAGATTTATTTATTTGACAGACAGAGATTACAAGTAGGCAGAGAGGCAGGCAGAGAGAGAGGAGGAAGCGCTCCCTGTTGAGCAGAGAGTCCGATGCGGGGCTCAATCCTAGGAACCTGGGATCATGACCTGAGCTGAAGGCAGAGGCTTTAACCCACTGAGCCACCCAGGTGCCCCATATCTTAGTATTTTAAAATATGTTGTTTTGATTTTTACATACTTGTTAAATCTGGTTGATCTTCATTTTAACCAGAAAAAGCACTGTTTTCAAATGACAAGTATTACCTGATCTGACAGTGCCTTCTTCAGATCCATTCTCTATCCATTGAGATTCACTGTCCAACAATCGGTTTTTTGATTCACTAAGTGGTTTGATAGGAAAGGGTTGATTTGAGCCAATACTGAAAAGAGGAAGAAATAATTTAGTAAACAGTTTAATGCTCAATCAAGGATACTTAATTAATAAGCAGCAAATTAGTATTCCTTCTCCTAAATATGTGAGGGCAACTCATGAGATCTCAGCACTCTAAAAAACTCTATCTTCAAAAGAAAAATATGCCCCCAACCCCCAACTGAATGGCTCTCTAAACCCAAGAATCTATATTCCAGCAGTGCCAATGAAAACAATTAGACAAAAGAAAAAAGCTTCAGAGGCCGGTGTGAAACTTTTAAAACATGTTAATCAAGAGCTGTAAGGTAGCACAAGGTGAGGATCTATATCTGTGGCCAGGACAAAAAAATTACCTGTCATTTCCCAAGTTTTCTGCTTTCTACCTCTGCAGTTTAGATCTAAGGGGAAAAAATGATTTAGTGATTTAGTGTAGACTTACTTTTCTTGCTAAGAGATCCAGGGAGGGAAGGAATGGAGGAACAGAAGAAGGAAAAGGGAACTAGTATTTCCTGTGTACTTACTACGGGCCAGATACTTTGCTAGGTGCTTTAAACACATTATGTCAACACAATAGCCCTTGGAGGTAGGTATGGTTATCCTCATTTTATAGAGCTGGAAACCGAGTGAAACCGAGTCTCACACAGTTTAAGTGACTTGTTCAGATGCACAATAAATGTTAAGAGTTTTAAGGTCCTAAGAAGGTCTATGTTCTGATACTAATAGACTATCTTGGAATTTATAACCTCTCCTCCCCCCAAATTTATTTCTGTCCTAAATAAATTTTGACTATTTCACTTTTATCTTTTTGACTTCTTTAAAATTTCACATAAATGAACTATTTCTTTGAATTTTTGAATTGGTTTGCTTACCATGCAAATACTGAAAAAGTATCCTCTAAGATGAATGAATGAGAAAAAATTTTACATTAATATTTTTAAAATCCTCCCTATTATTTTTACACTGCAGTTTAAATTTGTTTATCAAGATATAATGGTAGATAGTATGACTAATTTCTTTGAAAAAATATAGCTGATATAAACCAAGAATCGTATCTTGAAAGAATGTCTTAGTTTCTAGAAAGATGTAGCATATTTAGGATAGCTGTGTTTCCTGGCTTGCCCAGACATTTCCAGTTACATGTGTTTGTCCTGGTTCAACTATTAAAAAGCAAGCATTCTCTTTCTTATTCTCCAAGTGCTCTGGTTTGGAAGATAATAAGTATGGTTATACTAAGCATATTAGGTACCCACACATATTAGCTCTCAGTTAAAAAAAATTTTTACATAGAATTTCTCTTTCCCTATCTATGTTGACTTACAAATTACTACTGTATTTACCAGATATGTATGTACAGCACATACACACATTTTGTTTTATAATGAATAATGAAAACCTTAATGATAAGAAGCACACCTTCTAGGATATTCATTTTGATTTGTAACAGAAGCTTGTTCTGGATCCATCCCCACAAGGCGAGTTGGAAAACTGCAACCATCACCCAAGCTGCAAAATGAAAAATATCAGTAATAAATTTAAGTCATATTAACTTAAATCAAGGTGATCAAATTCAACAACCATTCTTCTTCAAAAACACAGTATAAAGAAATTATCATAATCTGTCATTTCAGAGAATAATTCTTAAAATTCTCTAGGGTTACTAGCCTCACTGAAGAAATAAGCTGTCTTCTCTTATAATTTACATATATTTAAAAAAATATCTTTCATGACTATTAAGATTATAATGCCTGGTGCACCTGAGTGGCTCAGTCAGTTAAGCAGCTGCCTTTGGCTCACGTCATGGTCCCAGGGTCCTGGGATTGAGCCCTGCATCGGGTTCCCTGCTCATCAGGGAGCCTGCTTCTCCCTCTCCCTCTGCCATGGTCCCTGCCTGTGCTTTCTCATTTGCTCTCTCTCTCTCTCAAATGAATAAATAAAACTCTTAAAAAAAAAGATTATGATGCCTATTAAAATTATGATACCTCAAACACAGACATTCAAATATCTGGGAAGTTGGCTAATTAAATATTTGGGTGACTGACATTATAATGCTTATTAAGATTATGATTCCCTATTAAGATCATGATATCTCAAACACCGGTAATCAAATATTTGGGTAACTGACCTACTCATCACAGTCATTTAAGACACCAAAGAAGCTCAAATTGAAATGCAAGAGGTAAGTTCCAAATATTTATTCATTTGACAAGTATTTTATTAAATGCCTATGATGCCCTGGGTACTATTATCAGGACTAGGGACATAGCAGTGAACAAAAGAGAAGAAAACCTGTGCCCTCAAGAAGTTTACAATCTAAAAAAAAGTACGGACATATCTTAATTTCACATTTTAAAGTTATTAAAATTATGTGTAACAGGGACTTTCATCTCCAGCCAAGATGGATTAACTGATAAATGTGACCTTCTGTCATGAACAACCAGAAAAGCGAAGAGTATATACAGTAACTGTTTTCCAAACAAACAACACAGAACTGTGGTCTCTGAAAAAAGAGAAACCAACCAAGTCCCAGGTTTCTGCCAGGACTTGAGCACCAGTAGGAGAAAAAAGTAGAGTAAGGTAGTCTCAATCAACTGAGGTGACAGAGATGGGTGTTTCAAGAAGTTGTGGTAGCTTGAATCTACTGGACAGAGCTGAGGAAGAGGGAGATATGCAAAGAAAGGGCCACAACAAGTGCACAGCATTTTACTGGAGCGTTTTGATGAATGCTAAGCTACACATGTGAATCTAGGCTTAAAACAGCCTCAAAAGGACCAAGCTAAAACACAAGTAACTCCCAAAGGAAGGGAGCAAAATTTATTTATTTATTTTTAAAATTTATTTATGACAGAGAGAGATAACGAGAGCGGGAATATAAGCACAGGGGAGCTGGAAAGGGAGAAGGAGGCTCCCTGCTGAGCAGGACGCCTGATATGGGGCTCGATCCAAGGACCTGGGACCATGACCCGAGCTGAAGGCAGATGCTTAAGAACTGAGCCACCCAGATGCCAAGAGTGCAAAATTTAATACACAGAATTTAAAATGTCTGCCATATAATAAAAAATTACTTGTATGGGGGCGCCTGGGTGGCTCAGTGGGTTAAAGCCGCTGCCTTTGGCTCAGGTCATGATCCTGGGGTCCTGGGACTGAGTCCCACATCGGTCTCTCTGCTCAGCAGGGAGCCTGCTTCCCTTCCTCTCTCTCTGCCTACTTGTGATCTCTGTCAAATAAATAAATAAAATCTTTTTAAAAAATTACTTGTATGAAAAGTAGCAGGAAAATGTGGTTCACAACTAAGAAAAATATAGTTAATAGAAAAGAATTAGAAATGACTATGAAAATTTGAAGCAAATACCTTTTTTTATTTTTTATTTTTTTTAAAGATTTTATTTATTTATTTGACAGAGATTACAAGTACGTGGAGAGGCAGGCAGAGAGAGAGGAAGGGAAGCAGGCTCCCCGCTGAACAGAGAGTCTGATGTGGGGCTCGATCCCAGGACCCCAGGATCATGACCTGAGCCAAATACAGAGAGGCTTTAACCCACTGAGCCATCCAGGCACCCCAGCAAATACTTTAAATAGTGACTGTAAATATGTCTGTGAACTAATAGGAAAAAAATGGATATGAGAAGAGAAATGTAAGATATAAAAAAGAACCAAATTGAACTTCTAGAGTTAAAAAATACAATATCTGAAATAAAAATTCACTGGATGAGCTTAACAGCAGAGCAGACATCATAAAAGAAAGGGTCAGTGAACTTATAGACATAGCAACAGAAACTATCCAAACTTAGCAGACAGAGAAGAAAGATGGGGCCTGGGGAGCAAAGAACAGTAATGACCCCTGGATCACAATCAAGCAGCTAAACAAATGTATATTTAAGAGTGCCCCAAAAACCAGTGGAGGGAGAGCATGAAAATTATTCAAATGTGATGAAAACTATAAATTCACAGATCCAAGAAGCCTAATGAACTCTAGAGAGGATAAACACAAAGAAACCATACCAAAACCCATCATTATCAAATGGCTTAATATTGGTGATAAAGATAAAATCTTAAGTAGCCAAAGGGCAAAAAAAAAAAAAAAAAGAAGACATATTAATTTACAAACAGTGGAATATAGATAAGAGTGAGGCTGAGTCTTGTCAAAAACAATGCAAGCCAGAAGTTAATGGAACAACATCTTTAAAGAAAAAGGAAAAAAACCAAAACCAAACCAGTCAATATTGAAACCTTGGTTTAGAGAAAATAATTTTAAAAAATACTAGTCTGTGTTCTATCTAGTCAGTGTGGAAAAACCTTGTAATACAGGAGATGATAAAGTACACAAAAGAGACTGATGCGCTTAAATGTACAACAATAGGATCTATCAAATGAAACACAGAAAAAAGACTGAATAGAAAAATGGACAGTGTATCAGGGAGCTGGGGTAGAACTTCAAGTGTACTAATATACATGTAACTGGAGTCTCTACAGTAATGGGGAAGGGGGATGGGGATGACAGAATAAGTATTTAAAGAAATAATGGTTAAAATACTTTCCAAATTTGATGAAAGTTATAAAATCGCAGTTCCAAGAAGCTCAACCAATTCCAAGCATAAGAAACATAAAGACAACTATATAGCAAGGCACATCATAATCAAACTGCATGAAACTAGTGCTAAAAAGCACATCTTAAAAGCACCGAGTGAAAATAAGACATATTACATATGGAGTAAAAAAAGAATGACTGCAAACTTCTTGTGAGAAAAAATGTAACCCAGAAGACAGTGAAGCAGTATCTAGAATTATATGCTAAGCAAAAATGTCTTTCAAAAGTGAAAGCAAAACGTTATTTTCAGACAAAAATATAGGAAATACAGCTAAACAAAGGGAAAAATCCTGTAACATTTATAAATATGTCACTTGAATTTCAAATATTTTTTACTTTCCTGTAATGACTTTGGATATAGATGGCCTATGATGGCTGGGAATTTGGGAGAAAAGGAAACTGAATCATCTCAAAGATATACTTTCATTTAAATTTGAAGTTAAAAATTGCATTATGTGTTGGGTCTTCTTTTAAGACACAAAAGAATACATAATCTGTGATAGAATCTTTGAAGATATAGCTAATTAAGTATAAAGTCTTATGATTCTCTATTTCAAACAACTTATTTTCATCCTGAAGGAAAAAGAGTGATTGCTATTTTTAGGAATCATCTTTTTTTTCTACTTTCCATTCAAATATATGCCCAAACTCTTTTTGGGAGAGTTTAATAAAAAACATGAAAAATATTTTATATAATCAAGATGTTCTGAGTTTTCATTCTCAAGGTTCATAAGATGTCATTATATACTGTATTCTCTGAATCTTAAGCCATTTAACCAGAGAGACAGACTATCATAGATTCTGTAATTTCTGAGACCTGCATTTTGTACATTACCTTGAAAATATTGGAAGTAGCCAGTATTTCTTTTCATCACCAAAGACTTGTCTCCAATTTTTACTGCATCCAAGAGAAAAACCATTTCCATCAGGTCCATATGAAAATGTGGCGGAGCGGAATGATTCTGTTATATGTACATATATTAAAAAAAGAGTTAATCTATTTAAAAATTATATGAGGATGGAAAGTAGCAATTTTCTTGCTTTATATCTTTTTTAATTTTTTTAATTTTTTTTTAATTTTTTTTTTTAAAGATTTTTATTTATTTATTTGACAGACAGAGATCACAAGTAGGCAGAGAGGCAGGCAGAGAGAGAGGAAGGGAAGCAGGCTCCCTGCTGAGCAGAGAGCCCGATGCGGGACTCAATCCCAGGACCCTGAGATCATGACCTGAGCCGAAGGCAGCGGCTTAACCCACTGAGCCACCCAGGCGCCCCTATATCTTTTTTTAAAAAAGACTTTTTAAATTTATTTGACAGAGAGAGATCACAAGTAAGCAAAGAGGCAGGCAGAGGGCGGGGCGGAGGGGGGAAGCAGGGTCCCTGCTGAGCAGAGAACCTGATGCAGGCCTCGATCCCAGGACCCTGGGATCATGACCTGAGCTGAAGGCAGAGGCTTAACCCTCTGAGCCACCCAGGTGCCCCGAGGTCTGACACTTTAAATGTGTAGGTGCACCAGTTGCTATGGGAGTGAGACTGCCTTCCTCAGCTTTCTACACCCCTGACCTACTTGTGGATAGAGTAGAGAGTTGGAATAGCTCAGGTCATGGATCAGTAGCTGAATTATAGGAGAAAGCCAGGACATGTATAGTGTGAGAGTGCTGTTAAGAGTTGTTAAAGTCGGGACACCTGGGTGGCTCAGTGGGTTAAGCCTCTGCCTTCGGCTCAGGTCATGATCTCAGGGTCCTGAGATAGAGCCCCGCATCGAGCCCCATGTCAGGCTCTCTGCACAGCAGGGAGCCTGCTTCCCCCCACCCACCCACCCAGCCTGCCTCTCTGCCAACCTGTGATCCCTCTCTGTCAAATAAATACGTAAAATCTTTTAAAAAGAGTTGTCATTTGTTACAGGATCTAGGATGGGAAAGGTGAGAAATGAGACCAGGAGAATGCAGGCAGTGTAAAAGATGAAATATAGTTGGAGTACAGAAAAAGAGAGCTGCAAGGATGATAGTGGCCAGAGAATGGAAAGATCAAATTGACAATTTCAGGTGCTCTTCAGTTCCAAGAGATTAAAAGATTCAGTGTTTAATTTATGGTAAAGATTGGCCATGAGCATCAAAGGGACCAGCTTGCCTGTTTGGGATAATAGCATTTGTTTGAATACAGAAACTCTTTAAACTGGGGAAATGGTCTCAAGGTAGGTAGGGGACAGTTACGGAGAAGGGTGGAGATGACAGAAAGTGTTCTCCAAGGACAGAATCTGAACAGAACTCTGGAAGGAGCAGTAGAGAACCAGCTTAGGTAGGGCCAAGGGTGTGGAAGGTGAGCTGTAAAGGAGGTGGTGTGCCATGGTAGTTTTTTCAAAATAAGGGTTAAAAACCTTAAAAGGTGTTTTTCACATATATTTTTGTGTGTGTGTGTGTGTGTGACCAGCATTTCTTTTTAATGAACTAAAACCGAAAATATTACAGTACATTGCATATGTAGAGATTAATGATGTTCTGAAAATATTTGCCTATTTTATTTATATAATTTTATAAACATGTGTATCCCCTAGGTCACAATATAAATTATGCCTTTCTTACTGTAGTCACTGGCAAAAAAGACTGAAAAATACTGCTTAGAGAGAAGAATACTGCTTAAAGAGAACACTAGGTTTCCCATAAAGTACACCTCTCTCATAACTAAGGGGTTAGGCAGGAAATGAAGCAGGCTTGGAACTATGGCAAATTAAAGTGTTCAGGCTCCCATCTAAAGCAGTCAGCTACTACTCAGTTCCAACTGAAGAATGCCATATAGGAACATGGGCCTACTGTTGTTTTTTATTTTTTTATTTTTATTTTTATTATTTTTTAAAGATTTTATTTATTTATTTGAGAGACAGAGATCACAAGTAGGCAGAGAGGCAGGCAGAGAGAGAAGGGGAAGCAGGCTCCCTGTTGAGCAGAGAGCCCAATGCGGGGCTCGATCCCAGGACCCTGGGATCATGACCTGAGCTGAAGGCAGAGGCTATAACCCACTGAGCCACCCAGGCGCCCCTGTTTTTTATTTTTGTAAAGATTTTATTTATTTGACAGAGAGATCACAAGTAGGCAGAGAGGCAGGCAGAGAGAGAGGGGGAAGCAGGCTCCCTGCCGTGCAGAGAGCCTGATGCGGGGCTCAATCCCAGGACCCTGAGATCATAACCTGAGCTGAAGGCAGGGGCTTAACCTACTGGGCCACCCGGGCGCCCCAGAACATGGGCCTACTGTTACCAGACTTAGCAATTTTTTAAAAGAAATCTACTTTTCTATGCGAAATCTCTTCCTTTTTAATTGGCATAGTTCATAAGGGCTAGACTTTGCATGTAAGCTGCCTTTTATCATTGATGAGTAAAGGTAAGGAGATGGCAGGGTACTCTGTGAAGAGGATAACAAATTAATTACTAAATACAAGAAAGTTTATTTACATAGAAAAGGGATGAAGGCATGATGGAACTAGAGGAGAGTTCCATAATGGAGAGTGAGCTGGAGAAGAAAGGGCATAGAAATCCCTACCCTGGAGCCCATCATGCTTTTATATGACTCAGTAAGACACAAAGTTAAAATAATCCAAATATAAACATATCTGAAAGCTTCCCTAAAATGTCTTCATCTTTCTGTATTATAATCTATCTGCCTCCAATTGCTCTGGTAGACATATGGCTTTAGATGTCAAGGAGTCTTTGACTTTCCTATGAAACAATGTGACAGATTCCTATTTTGTATCTGATTGGCTGATGTATACATCAGCCAATGCCGAAATATTTCAATTATAGCACAGTGGCCACTTACAGGCTAATAGCTTAGTTTGAGTCAATGTCATACCACCTTTATTTAGGAAATGTTTGTCCAATTATTTTAATACCTTAATGAATCCTCCCCCTCTATTTCACTTTTTAAAAAATGAGCAAAATAAGGAAATAAATGCTGATATTAGTGGTATAGTTGACATAAAGATGGAAATGATTAACCATGCCAAAAATGCTACTCCTTAGCCTCAATCAGGGAACACGCCAGTCACTGTGTAATCACAGGTGAGGAAAAATTAAAGAATACGTTTTAGCTAAAAGATAAGCTGTGGGGGGGTGCCTCGATGGCTCCGTCCATTAAGCAACTGAGTCTTGGTTTTGGTGCAGGTCATGATCCTCAGGGTCATGAGAGTGAGCCCTGCTTCTCTCCTTCTCCCTCTCCCTCTGCTCCTCCCCCTGCTTGCTTATTTGTTCTCATAAATAAATAAATCTTAAAAAAATAAAATTTATATAGTTCTTTTATATATAGTGTACTACTGAAAATACATGCAAATGCCAATCTCACATCCTCAATCTTCAAAATATTGAAACTCTACATTTATTATATACCAGTTGTTCTTATCTAGTTACAGTAAACCTTAATACAGAATGATTTTCTATTTCTTTATCATCTATTGTCCTCATGATTTCATAGTCATTTGTGGTCATTTTCCTAAATAATTATGATTTCTTTTAGCCTACTTACCTATTGTTGTTCTGTTTTTTCCAACTAGCCAGCAGTGGTAGCTGAAAAGTGATAGAACGCTGATGAAGAACATTGTAGACACGAAGAAAAGGAAAAGTACGTGGAATTTCGCACGTGTATCAGAGAGTTCATTCTGAGGAAGGAAGAAAGAAGAGTTAATTTTAGAATAGTCAGCCCTTAAAGTATATTGTTATTTGATTCTTCCTAAAGACTGCTGAATCTACCAAAAATCTTGCCAGATATGAAGAATAAATTTAGAAAATAAATCCAAAAGCAACATCTCCCAAAACAGAAAACTGGCATTATCAAAGGAGCTTGCTTGTATGAAATGTTGAAAGGGTCATTTAAAAAAATTACTCTTAAACATTTAAAAAATTTAGTAATATATTCAATAAAAAGATGCATTTTAACTCATTTTTTTCTTTTGTACTTTATGCATATATTCATAAGCTTTCCCTGATATCCAGGATATATGCTAAAGTATTTGCTTATTTTAATTATAAATGTTGCTAACCAGATACTAATTGTGATAAATTTGTGTATTTCTTTAATTTCTATTTTTGGAAGACCCCAGCATATATCCCCATGCCCTCAGCTGTTCAATCTCTACTTTTTTTACCCTCACTCAATTCCTACACTTTTTATTTATTTATTTATTTATTTTGGGTAATTAGCAGTTTTGGTAAATACATTTACCACAAGGTATTAGTGAATGAAAACAGCTTTGCTGTTACCCCTTTTCTTATGGCTATATTCATTTTAACAGAAGCAAAATCTTAGTATCTATTAATAGGAGAAAGAGGAAGCCTTTAAGTGTTAGCTCTTAAAATAAAACCACATGGGCAAATTACAGACTCTACTAGAACATGAGGTGGTCCTGGATTGATTTAAACATAGTTTACAGGATAAAATGAAGGTTTTTAGTATTAGATTATTCTGACATGTATTTTTTACTCTTCTCTCCCAGAGTAACCACAGTGCCTTTTAAACATACCAAGCAATTCTTTTAACTTCCCATCTTGTGAAGCAAATGAATATTATACATATTTACTATAAATTGTCACAAGAATGGCATGGCAATAATGTTATTTTACCTTTGGACAACTCTCTGTAGATTTCCTGCGGCAAAGCTTGTACAAATAAAGATAATGTATTAAGAAACCAAATTTTATACAAAATTATCCTGAACACTAGTTTTATAAATCTTTTATTTTGAAGGAACACTGAGATGTTGTTTTCTAAAGGTTATTGACAACAATTTTTTCCAAAAACACAAAAGTGAAAACAGACAAGAATATTTAGCTCCTAAAACAAACAAACAAACAAACAAACAAAAACAAAGAATATTTAGCTCCTCAAGCACATTCGAGGTACACTTTAAATATATACTTTCCCTCTGTTTTTTAAAGAGATTTAAATCTAGGAAAGAAAATTTTTTTTTTTTTTTAGCAAATAGCTTTTATTTAAAAACTTTTGATTAGCAGTTTCTAAAAACTCTGAAAACTTATCACCTTCACTCACTATGACTGCAAAAGCCTTCTAAGAGGTGCTGTCACTTGACCTGCAGTCTAGTTTCAGCTCTGTAATCAGAGTGATCCATTATAATTAAGACCATGTTACTCCTCTGCTCCCGTTTCACTGAGGAACGAAAGACACAGTCCTCCAACACTCTCCAAGGCCCACTGCCCGGACTTCTCATTAATCCCATTCTTGCTCATTCTACTCCAGCCACACTAGCTAGCCTCCTTGCTGTTAAACAAACATAGAGGGGACGCTCCTACTTTGGGGCCTTTGCTCCAAACTCCAGATGTTTCTTCAAAAATGTTCTTCTCTCAAATGTCCACTAACTCCCTTTAAGTCTCTGCTCAAATCTTACCTTTGAAAATCTACCCTGATCACACTCTTTTTAAAAAATTGAGATACAACTGAACATATAACATTTTATTAGTTTCAGGTGTAAAACATGACTCAATATATGTACACATTGCAAAAGTCACAATATGTACAATTGCAAAAGTCACAATAAGTCTAGTTAACACCCATACCACAATTATAAAATTTTTTTTCTAGTGATGAGATCTTTTAAGATGTACTATCTTAGCAACTTTCAAATATACCTAACTATAGTCACCAAATATGGTGCATTATATACCCAAAACTTATTCATGTTATTTTGAGCACCTTCATCCACTTTACCCACCCCCCACCCACTGCCCCAACAATCACCAATCTGTTATCTAGGAGTCCAAAAGAAATTTTTTTTAGATTCCACATAATTGACAAAAACAGTTATCTTTCTCTGACTTGTTTCACTTAGTGTAATGTCTTCCAGGCCCATTCATGTGATCACAAATGGCAGGATTTCCTAAGTTTTTATGGCCAAGTAATATTCCATTGTGTACACGTACACGTACACGTACACGTACACACACACACGTACACGTACACACACACACACACACATTTTCTTCACCCATTCATCCACTGATGGGACACTTAGGTTGTTTTCATGTCTTGGCTATTATAAATAAGCTGCAATGCACATGGGGCACGCACATATCTTTTCAAGTTAGTGATTTCATTTCCTTTGGATAAATATCCAGAAGTAGAATTGCTTGGATCATATGGTAGCTCTAATTCTTGGAGGAATCTTTATACTGTTTCCATAGTGGTTAAACCAATCTACATTCCCACCAACAGTACATGGGTTCCTTTTTCTCCACATCCTCGCCAATACTACTTCTTATCTTTTGATAACAGCCATTCTAAGAGGTATGAGTTGGTATCTCACTGTGGTTTTGATTTGCATTTCCCTGATCAGACATTGAGCAATTTTTCGTGTACCTGCTGGCCATCCATGTCTTTGGAAAAATGTCTGTTCAGATCCTCTGCCCAATTTTTAAATTTCTTTTTTTGGGAGGGGGGGCTACTGAGTTGTAGTTCTTTATATATTTTGTCTATTAAGCTCTTGTCAGATATATGACTTGCAATCTTCTCCCATTCAGTATGCTGCCATTTGTTTTGTTTATTGTTTCCTTTGCTGTATAGAAACTTCTTAGATTGATGTAGTCCCACTTATTTACTTTTGCTTTTGTTATTTTGGTTTTGCTGTTAAATCTAAAAAATCATCACCAGGACCAATGTGAAGGAGCTTACTGCTAATGTTCTTAAAATCTAGATTTATGGTTTCAGGGCTTATGTTCAAGTGTTTAATCCATTTGTAATTGATTTTTGTTATGATGTAAGATAGAGATCCAGTTTCATTCTTTTGCATGTGGCTATCCATTTTTCCCAACATTATTTATTACAGAGACTACCCTTATCCACGGTATACTCTTGGCTCCTTTGTTGTAAATTAACTGACCAAAGATCCATTGGTTTATTTCTGGCCTATCTCTTTTGTTCCATTGGTCTATGTGTCTGTTTTCACGCCAATACCAGGGTTCTGATTACTACAGCTTTGTAATATGGTTTGTAATCAGGAAGTGTGATACTTCCAGCTTTGTTCTTCTTTTTCAAGACTGCCTTGGCTATTTGGGGTCTTTCGCAGTTCCACACAAATTTTAGAACTGTTTGTTCTATTTCTGTGAAAAATGTCTGTGTTGAAAATGTCTAAGTTCTTCTGTGAAAAACTTCGTTAGGGATTACGCTGATTCTGTAAATGGCTTTTGGTAGTATGGACATTTTAACAATATTAATTCTTCATGTTTAACAATGTTAATTCTTCCAGTCCATGAGCACAGATGAACTTTCCATTAATTTGTGCCTTCAATTGCTTTTATCAGTCTCTCATAGTTCTCAGTGTACAGGTCTCTCACCTATCTTTAATTTCTTTTTTTTTTTTTAAGATTTTATTTATTTGACAGAGAGAGATCACAAGTAGACAGAGAGGCAGGCAGAGAGAGAGGGAGGGAAGCAGGCTCCCTGCTGAGCAGAGAGCCCGATGCGGGACTCGATCCCAGGACCCTGAGATCATGACCTGAGCCGAAGGCAGCGGCTTAACCCACTGAGCCACCCAGGCGCCCCTCTTTCTTAATTTCTTAATTTCTCTTCTTATAGTCTGTTACTACTGTATAGAAATGCAATTGATTTTGAACTCTGCAACTACTCTTAATTGGTTTCTTGGTTCTAACAGTTTTTGGTGGAGACTTCAGGGTATTCTAAATATAATATTATGTATTATGCAAATAGAGACAGCTTTACTTTTTTCCTACTTGAATTTTTTCTTTTTCTTGCCTAATTGCTTTGGCTAGGACTTCCAATACATATTGTGTTGAATAAATAGCAAGAGTGGGAATCCAGGTCTTTTCTTAATCTTAGGGGGAAAGCCTAAAGTCTTTCATCACTGAGTATGATGTTAGCTGTGGGATTGTCATATAAGGTCTTTACTGTGTTGAGATATATTCCCTCCATACCTACTTTGTTAAGAATTTTTATCAAAAATAGATGTTGAATTTTATCTAATGCTTTTCTGTATCTATTGAGATGATCATATTTCTTCCTTCATTTTGTTAATGTGGTATGTCATGCTGATTGATTTAAAGATACTGAACCGTATCTGCATCCCTGGAATAAATCCACATGATCACAGTGTATGATTCTTTCAACGAATTGCTGAATTCAGCTTGCTAATATTGTTTTAAATATTTTTACATCTTTGGGCCAACAAGTATATAAAGCCTATAATTTTATTTTCTTATAGTGCCCTTGTCCATTTTTGGTATCAGGGTAATACTGGCCTCATAAAATGAATTTGGAAGTGTTCCCTCTTCTATTTTCTTGGAAGATTTTGAGGACTAGCAGTTCTTTAAATGTTTGGTAGAGGGGCACCTGGCTCAGTCATTAAGCATCTGCTTTCAGTTCAGGTCATGACCCCAGGGTCCTGGGATGGAGCCCTGAATCAGGCTCCCTGCTCTGTGGGAAGCCTGCTTCTCTCTCTCCCACTCCCCCTGCTTGTGTTCCCTCTCTTGCTGTCTCTCTCTCTGTCAAGTAAATAAATAAAAATCTTTATTTATAAATAAATAAATGTATGTATGTATGTTTGGTAGAATTCACTACCAAACCATCTGGTCCTGGACTTTTGTTTATTGGGAAGTTACTGATTACTGATTTAATCTCCTTACTAGCAATTAATCTCTTCAGATTTTCTACTTCATCATGATTCAGTCTTGGTTGTATTTTCTAGGAAAGTATCCATTTCTGCTAAGTTGTCCATTTTGCTGGTGTATCATTGTTCATAGTAGTCTCTTATGATCCTTTGTATTTCTGTGGCATTAGATATGTTTTCTCTTCCATTTCTGATTTTGAGTCCTCTTTCTTTCTTGTGAGTCTAGGTAAAGGTTTGACTGTTTTATCTTTTTAAGAAAACCAGCTCTTTCACTGATCTTTTCTATTGTCTCTTTAGTGTCTACTTATTTCCATTCTGATTTTGTTTTTCTTTTTAAAAGTTTTTATTTATTTATTTATTTGAGAGAGAGAGAACAAGAGAGAAAGCATGAGGAGGAGGAGGGTCAAAGGAAGAAGCAGTCTTCCCTGCTGAGAAGGAGCCCGGGACTTGATCCTGGGACTCCAGCATCATGACCTGAGCCAAAGACTCAACCAACTGAGCCCCCTAGGCACCCACCATTCTGGTATGTTATTTCCCTCCTTGTACTAACTTTGGCTTGTATGTTCTTCTTCTAGTTCCTTGAGATGTGAAGTTAGGTTGCTTTAGATCATTCTGATTTCTGAGTTTTCTAGTTTTCTTTTTTTGTAACTGATTTCTAGTTTTATACCACTGTGTTTTCTGTTTCTTTGGATGGAGTATTCTATATGTCTAGTAAGTCCACTTGGCCTAATGTGTCATTTTAATACCAACTACCTTATTGATTTTCTGTCTGGATGATTTATCCATTGATGAAAGTGGGGTATTAAAGTCCCTACTATTACTGTATTGCTCTCAATTTCTCCCTTTAGGTCTGTTAATATTTGCTTTATTTATCTAGGTGCTCCCATGTGTCCATTAACTTCCTTCATGCCTATGCTCAAATCTGATCATCTTACTGAGGCAGGTCTATTCTTATCACTCTCTTTGGCACTTCTATCTGCCCCTGTCATACCCACCCCTACACACTTGCCACATCCCTTACCCCGCTCTATTTTTACTATTTTTCAGTGTTTACTTCCTAATACACAATAGGATTTACTTATTTATTATGCGTATATGCCATCTTCTTCTCAAAAGTAAGTTCTATAAAAACAGGACTCTGTTTTGTTCACTGATATATCCAAAGTGCCTTGAACACTGCCTGGCACATAGTAGGTACTAAATACATATTTGTTAACTGAAGAAAAAGATTTAAGTTTATTAGTCTTTCCTTATTATGATAAATCTGAAAAAAGTTTTAAAAATATTTATTCTTTTTTTAGAGACAGAAAGAGCATGCACATGAGTGGGGGAAGGGCAGAAAGAATGGGAGAAAGAATCCCAGGAAGTTTCTGGAAATGCTCAGTGTGGAACCCATATCAGGGCTCAATGTGATGACCCTGAGGATCATGATCTGAGTCGAAACTGAGAGTTAGATGCTTAATCAACTGAGCTACCCAGTCACCCCTAAAATATTTATTCTTTAATTAATAAATCACTATATGCAAACACTGCTGAAGTTTCTGGTAAAGAAATATGAAATTCTATAGTTTAGACTTTATTCACTGGCACTGAATCCTCTTCATTTAAATAGGGCCACTGAGTAGGATTAAGTAGGTTGTAAACTGAACAAAGATACTTACAACTAAGGGAAGAGCAGAACCCAAAATTCACTGGGCTGAGACCACACAGAACTGGGTACTCTCTTCTAATATACACAAAGGCACCGTAGACTTAAGCCAGAAATCATAAATGAAAAGTACTGCTTTTACATTTTTAATTTTTAAAAGATTTTATTTATTAATTTGAGGGAGTGCAGAGCGAGAGAGAGAGAGCACACCAGGGGGGGAGGAGCATAGGAAGGGGGAGAGGAAGGCTCCCCACTGAGGTGGGAGCCAGATACAGGGCTTGATCCCAGGACCTTGGGATCATGACCTGAGCCAAAGGCAGACACTTAACCAACTGAGCCACCCAGGTGCCCCTTTGATTTCTGATTTTCTGATTATTTATTTAAAAGCAGTACTTTAGGGGTGCCTGGGTGGCTCAGTTGGTTGAGCATCTGCCTCTTGATTTTGGCTGGGGTCAGACCTTAGGGTCCCAGGGTCATGAGGTTGAGCCCTCTGTAGGGCTGGTGCTCAGCACAGAGTCTGCTTCTCCCTTTCCTCCCCCTCCAACCCCCACCCTGCTCAAGTGCATGCAATGCATACACTCTCTCTACAATGAATAAATAAATAACATCTTAAAAAAAAGAAATGATAAAAACACTGCTTTAAAAATATAAAACTTTGATTTAATAAAAATCAAAGAAAACAGGGTTATAAGATATAAATTAAAAATGTGGAAAAAACACAACTTATGACAGAAAAAGGATTAACATCTATAGAGGCAGGAACCGGATTAGTGGTTATTTGCGCTATTTGCAATTTCACTGTTATTACTGTAAAACTGCAGTAAGTCTCTTCAACTCAAGTAAAAGCAATTACTTCCTTAAAATTGATAGGTCTATTGTTAGAATATTGCTGAAAATAGTTTGACTCACTAAAAAAAGTTTACTATATCCTATTTAATATCCATTTATTTACAAATAAACATATGAAGGTAAATTGTAATCCCATTTGCTTTCTGATCCATAAATTCTACCTAGTAAAATTGAAATAAAGTATATCTACTTATAATAAAGAATGAATGAATTCTTTATGAATATATCATCTTAAAAAGTTTTACGTATATGTTTTAAGACAGAAAAAAGACTTACCGTCCAAAATTTTATAAAGTACTGTAAAACTGTTGTAGCCACGAAAAGGCAATATAACAAGGAATACAATAAAAACAGCAGGAAGAATTTGTAATTAGAAAATCCCACACAGTTATTCACCCTAGAAGAATAAAGAAAATCACACTGTAAAAATAAGATAAATCACAAACTATCAGAAACAAAAAACAAAATGATGTTTGCCAAGGGCTGGGGGGGGCTGTGATGGGTATAGAAATTTATTTTGCAAGACGGAAAATTTCTGAAGATTGTTACACAATATGAACATATTTAATACTACTGAACTGTACACTTAGAAATGGTTAAGACAGTACGTTTTAATGTTATTTTTAAACTATAATAAATAAAAACAATAATACATATGGCAGATAAAAAATATTATTACTTAGAAATGGGTCATTTGGGAAGTAGGGAGCAGTATCTTAATTGTGAATGTGTGTTTTTAATAAATTCATGAGGGAATCTGGAATTTTAATGTTAATTCTTAATATACACTTACTTGGATTAATAACATCAGAGTATATATTTAAAGGAATACATTTAATATAAACATGTACATACATAAATATGCATATAAATAGGACCAGATCAATCTTGAGTAATCGAGTAATTAAACTGACCCTCAAAATTTGGGAATGCTGAGATAAATTACTCTCAATTCTCTCCTTCCCACCTCTCCACCCCCAATGTAATTTCCTCTTTTTTTATACATACCAAGGACAGTGATGATCCATCTTAAGAACACATCTAAAAAACAAATAAACATAAGAAAATCCTTGCACAAAAATTCCCCTAATTCTAATTTCTGATAATTTTCTCTTTCTTTGGCTTAAATTTTTACCTTTACAAATAATATCTTAGAAAAACCAACCCAGAGGTGCCTAGGTGGCTCAGTGGGTTAAGCATCTGATTCTTGATTTCAGTTCAGGTGACGATTTCAGGGTTGTGAGACTGAGCTGTGCTTCAGGCTCCATCCTGGGTGTGGAGCCTGCTTAAGATGGTCTCTCTCCCTCCCCTTCTGCCTCTCCTCTCCCTGCCTCCTTCTCTAAAAAAAGTAAAGAAAAACTAACCCAGTAGGTTAGAGAAAAGTTCTGGTATTTCCAGAAGGCCTTTTATAGTTAGATGATTTTTAATACTGGGAATTCAGCTGAGCATAGCCAAATGCCTTGAACCACACCAAATGACATTTTAATATGATGTAGTACACATAGCACTAGGTAAATTAGATAGGTCCAGCTTACAAATTAGCTGAGGAAGATAAAATGAAATACAGAAATCCCTATGCTATTTTAACCACATAAAACACATAAACATAAAACACATAACACTAAAAATATGTAACACATAAAAATAAAACTTTAGGAGCAAATATGTTAAAATATTAATAATGATAGGCTTATAGATGGTTATTTTTTCCACATAATTTACAAAATTGCATTCCCTGGATAAGCAGTACTGTACTTTTATAATAAAAAAAACCCTCCAAATTTACCTCTTCACCAATACAATTAATCTAGATTTGTATGAAGTTAGACCACAGAACATTTCAAATACAGCAGTTCCCCTTATCCATAGTCGCTTCCCCTGGTTTCAGCTACCCACAGTCACCCGTAGTCCAGCAGCAGATAATTCTCCTTTGGACATACTTCAGAAGGTAAACGGTGGCCTAATGCTGTGTCACAGAGCCTACGTCATTTACCTCCCTTCATCTCATCACAATAAGGATGAGTATAGCGGAAGGCATTTTGAGAGAAAGACCACATTCACATAACTTTTATTACAATATATTGCTATAATTGTTCTATTTTATTATTAGCTATCATTGTTAATCTCTTACTGTGCCTAATTTATAAATTAAACTGTATCATAGTTATGTATGTATAGTATATGTAGGGTTTGGTATTATCCAGTTTTGGGCATGCACTGGGGGTCTTGGAATAGATCCCCAGGCAGATAAGAAGTGACTGCTGAAATATAGGAAATGAATAAACTAATACCTAGAATGTTAAATAGCCTGTCCAACTAAAGTTCAAGGACCAGTAGAGATTACCAAACTATGAATCTTTCTTTTAGCACACTACCCTCTGAAAAGGGCACAAAAAAAAAAAAAAAAAAAAAAGAGAGAGAGAGAATTTTCTGGGAACAATGTCACAGACAGTAACTGAAAACAGTATTTTTGCAGATTATTAGGTTTTAATATTAACAATAAAAATGAGAAAAGTAGGGTGCCTGGGTGGCTCAGTGGGTTAAGCCCCTGCCTTCAGCTCGGGTCATGATCTCAGGGTCCTGGAATCGTGCCCCGCATCGGGCTCTCTGCTCAGTGGGAAGCCTGCTTCCCCCTCTCTCTGCCTACCTCTCTGCCTACTTGTGATCTCTCTCTGTCAAATAAATAAAATCTTTAAAAAAAAAATGAGAAAAGTGTCATGATCGTCTTTTTTTTCCATGACTGTCTTTTTAACCTAAGAAATAAAGTTATCTCCCTCAAGGGGGTTATTACTTATTTGCTTATCAATATTAAATTAAATGTAAGTGTAAGAAGTATATTCTATCAACCAGTATAGTAACTCTTAACCAAGATTACTTCAAGGTATATTCTAGCTTATATAAATATTTTTGTTAGCCCAGCAAACATAGCAAATAAAGGGAAAGGATACAATGTTCTTGCTAAGTATAAAGCATTCCATTCCCCTTCCATTCTCCTGTCATCAACTTCTGGTGCTAGGTTAAATAGAAACAAACAAGTAATACTTACACGTCACATGCTGAGCAGTGATGTGCCCGGTCAGGTTTAATCAACTGACATCTTTCACAGTATCTGATGGCTACATTTAAGAATTAAAAGGAAATTGTTGAAGGATGTGTAAGCTTAGTTAATTTGACTGTAAAATTTGTTTTCATTTCTTTTACAAATAATTCTGTGAATTTTACAACTAATAATTTTAAAATAATACCAAAGTGTATTAAAAAGCTTCTGAAATCAAAATGTCAAGAGGTAGAAGGGAACCTCAGAAATAGAATAGTACCCAGCAGTTTTCAGATGAAAAAAGAGAATCTATAGCAAGTAAGTGACTTCAACAAGGTCAGACACCAGTTAGGTAGCATAACACAGAGTTATGGAGTCCCAATTCAAGTTCTTTTTCCTACTATAATACAGTGTCTATAATAAAATATAAAAATGAAGTGTCTAAACGTTTCAAGGCACCCTGTGGGATTTTGTTTTTAACATTATAAAATAGCTTTTTCAAGAAAAACAAAAACATAACCTTTTATCTCCCATCCCTATCCCAAATAGCAAAACTGAGACCACATTTTCAAACACAAACCCCAAGGGGTGCCTGGTGGCTCAGTGGGTTAAAGCCTCTGCCTTTGGCTCAGGTCATGATCCCAGGGTCCTGAGATCAAGCCCTGCATAGGGCTCTCTGCTCAGCAGGGAGCCTGCTTCCCCCTCTATCTCTCTGCCTGTGTCTCTGCCTACTTGTGATCTCTGTCTGTCAAATAAATAAATAAATAAATAAATAAATCTATCTTTAAAAACAAAACAAAAAATAAAAAAATAAAAACAAACCCTGAAATTTTCCCCACTCAATTCTAACATATGTTATTACTGCCCAATTTATATGTTCATTCATTCAAAACATGAGCACCTATTTTGTGCCAGATACTGTTCTAGGCTTAAATCCCTGCCTTTGTGGAACTTACATTCTTTTGGAGATCAGGAGTAATAAATAAGTTAACAAAATAAACAGAATATTAATGATAGGTGCTAATAAGAAAAATAAAGCAGGGAAGGGGAATTGGTATACTGTATACTGTAATTTCAGAGACATTTGAGAAAACTGAAATTAAAGGAAGGGGGTTAGTAAGTCACACTGGGAAAAAGAGGATTCTAAGCAGAGGACAGCCCTTGAGGTGGGAGTGTGCTTAGTTTGTTTAAAGAATAGGGAAGGGCCTGGTGTACCTGAACAGGGTGAAAAGGACTCGGGGATGACGTCAGAGATTAACAAGAAATCAGATCAAGTAAGACTTGTTTTCCCAATTCAGCTCAAGTACTCTGATAAAAAAAATTCAAGAGAAGGAGTCCACTGGAATAAGAGTTCCATCAGAGTCTGTATATTGAACAGAACCTTAAGTTTCGGTTTTTGAAATTTAAAAAAGTGACAAATAGATCTTTGAGATTCATGAGGGAAATGTCCCAAGACTTCACAAATCAAAAAGTACCTTAAAAACCATTATTATAGATGAATAGAGAACAACATGTTTATAGTTAGACACTAATTGTTCTCTAAAGCAAACTGTACTGGCTTGGCAACAAGGCAAATTACTATTGGCCTTTCTCAAATAGTTGAAACATTATAGATTTAGAGCACTGAAATGGCAAATACTCTCCTTGAAATGGCTTCTTTCAGGATATCTGCCTAATCTATAAGTCATTCTCTCCTTCTCTGGGAAGTGAGTGCGTGCATTCCACCCTCCCCGCTTCTAGTTGACGCTCTCTCTCCTGTGGACTAAGCACTGGGACTGAGAATGAATTATGGCTGCATGCTGCCGTAACTGGGTAATAACATGTGATGGTGATATTTTGCCAGGTGAATTGGAAAAAAATGAAAACTTGTCTGCTGGGAGATAGTGTTAAAAATGAAACAAATAGGGCACCTGGGTGGCTCAGTGGTTAAAGCCTCTGCCTTCGGCTCAGGTCATGATCTCAGGGTCCTGGGATCGAGTCCCGCATCGGGCTCTCTGCTCAGCAGGGAGCCTGCCTCCTCCTCCTCTCTCTCTCTGCCTGCCTCTCTGCCTACTTGTGATCTGTCTGTCAAATAAATATAAAAAAAAAAATCTTTAAAAAAAAAAATAAATAAATAAAAAAAAATAAAAATGAAACAAATATACAGAAATAAGAAGAAACAAGCTGCACAGAGTCCCAGTTTTAGCTTTCTAATTCTGGGTTCCAGTCCCTTCTTGTAATCCTGTCCTTAAGATACAGGAAAATGCACAAATTTCTGATACTGTTTCATATTTTCTGGTAGCTTTTTGGTGTGAAAGGAGTTAAAAAGCTTAAGTTGTTGCCTGTTACTTGTGATCCTAACAACAGAGTAATAGCATAGAAAATAGGTTCAAATAAAAATTTAAATTAAGCATACTCTCTAAAAAGTACATGAATCATGTCATGTACTACAATCTATTTGGAAGGAAATTTGGCAATATCGATAAAAATTTTAGATGTATGTGTTCTCTGACCCAGGATTTCTACTTCGAGAAAATTCTATAGACATGTTCACCACAGCATTGTTTTGAATAATATAACACTATTAATAACTTGAATTATCTAAATGGCTAAGCATTTTGATACACCCATATAGTGGAATGCTATGTAGACATTAACAAGAATTTTTCATACAAAATACACATGTACCCTAAGTTGGAAAAATGCAAATATATCATGTAGAAAAAAGAGCAAGTTGTTGAACATCTGAATATGTAGCATGTTTCACATCTCTAACGGGAATAAGAATACATATTTTTATCTCTTTACATATCATAATAAGATGCATCCACCTTCTAGATGTGAATTAACAATATAAGAGAAATAAAGTATTATTTTGAAGTCATGTTATAAGTCAAACCTGCTAAAAGACACTCTCCAGGTAACCAAATTTGTATTTGTTAGTATCTATTCACTCTGGTTGTTAAAATATATTAATCAATTGTACGTAAGTTATGCAATACTCTGACAAGTATAAAAAATTCCTGCAAAGATATGCAGGGTGCCCCTGGAGAACAGTGCGGGGGTGAAGTTAAACTCACTTTTCTTTCTTTTTTTCTTGTAGGTTCCATACTCAGTGTGGAGCCCAAAGCAGGGTTTGAACTCATGACCCTGAGATCAAGACCTGAGCTGAGATCAAGAGTCAAACCCTGAGATCAAGAGTTGGATGCTTAACTGAGCCATCTAGATGCCCCTCACATTTCATTTGGTGTCCTAAAAAAATTTTTTTTAATCTTGGGCAGGTATTACTCCTATAATTTCAACAAAAATATCTTTAAGATGAAGGGAATCTATATAAATAACCACTTAAATGAATAAGCTATAATCTACTGAGGGTGTGTTCTATAATACCTCACCTGGGTTGCATACTACGGAGATAAAACCACACAATGTAGAAAAAGTAACCTATATAGGACCGTACAAATCTCCTAGTCGATCTCTCCAATCTATAGATAAAAAACACCCCAATATCAAGAGAAAGTAATTTGCCCAAGGCTATATACAGCTGAATTAGTGGTAAGATGAGGATCAGGAGTATCTTATTTTCTTTTTCCTCTATACTTCCACTCAAAATTCTGAGATGAGAATTCTGCTCTGAGATGAGACCAAACTAAACAGACCTTTGAGGAAGACTTCCGAAGGATTCTGATGATTGAGTAGACAGAAGAACCAAGGAAAAAGGAGTAATCAGCAAACTTCAGTTTCTAGTCTCAGGTGCTGAGATGAACAAGGCTGCTCATGGCAGAAATAAACTCAGTCTGGGAGAAGCAGGGAGAGTGGGGCTGGATGTTTTTCATTTATTCATTCTCTCATTCATTCATTCAAGAAATATTTAGAGAGTTTCTACCATGTGACAAATATCGCTTGATGGTATTAAATTTTGAACTGATGAATCCAGTTTTATTTGGGTTTGTAGGTTTGGGTAATAGGTCACTCAAGGACAGCTATTTTGGTGGGAGCCAGGGAAGATGATGGAGTAGGAGGACTCCAAGTTTACCTAGTCCCATGGATGTACGTAGAAAATAAACTGATATATCAGTGCAACTATCCCAGAAAATGAACTTTAGCTGGAGATGCTGAATGGGAAGACACATGCCAAGAAGAGTGATGAAGCCTTGAATAATGGCTACTGGGTGCTCTGGGGGACAGGTCTGCAGGTTCTTCCCTCTGAAACATCAGGAAGAGTGCTGCGGCCCTCCTGCAGCTAGACTGTAGGCTTCTAGGTGGACAAGTGATCCCCAGGTTCAGCTGCAACTCCACTCCTTTGTCTGACATACAAGAAAGGGTTTGGAATGCAAGTAACTGCTAGTGTGACAATGTCCTTGAATCTGTTTTAATTCAGATTCAAAAAAGTGAAACTCATTCCTAAAAACTATCAAAGAAAACAAACTGAGACACAATAAACTGAGGATCACAATATCCTAGTGTTAGAGTTCCAGAGGTGAAAACAAAAGCTGAAATAATAGTATGAAAAGAATGAAGGCAAGGCAACCTTGTGAGGTTAAGAAATACAAAAATTAAAAAGGGATGCCTAGGCGGCTCAGTCATTAGGTATCTGCCTTCTGCTCAGGTCATGATCCTGGGGTCCTGGGACTGGGCCCCGCATCAGGCTTCCTGCTTGGTGGGGAACCTGCTTATTCCTCTCCCACACCCCCTGCTTGTTTTCTTTCTCTAGCTGTAACACTCTCTGTCAAATAAATAAAAAAGTATTTAAAAAAGGGGCGCACGGGTGGCTCAGTTGTTAGGCGTCTGCCTTCAGCTCAGGTCATGATCCCAGCGTCCTGGGATCAGGTCCCACATAGGGCTCCCTGCTTGGCAGGATGCTTGTTTTTCCCTCTCCCCCCTCCCCCTGCTTGTGTTGCCTCTCTTGCAGTATCTCTCTGTCAAACAAATAAATAAAATCTTTTAAAAAAATAGTTTAAAAAAACTTGAAAAAAAAGAAAAAAAAATTTTTAAAAATTTAGTAGAAAGAATAATCATTCAAGGATGCAGAAATAGAATAGTAAAGCACAACAAAGAAAGCTTTTCAAGAAGCCAGAATGACAAGAGCCACTGAACTTTGGGTAGGGAGAATAGAAGCCAGTTGCCTGGTATTTAGCTGGGAAGGAAAAAGAGGACTTGGGTGCAGAAAGCTTATAAGAGGATTTAACTCAATGGGAAGAGAAAATATAATGGCAGTTAGAACAAAGTCTGAACCAAACTGCTGTTTTTAAGAGACATATACTTTGATGTATACCTGAGAATGAAGGGAAGAAACTTGTGATTTATTAAGTGAAGGGAAGAAAGGTTGTGATTTATTAAGTGGAGAAGCAAGCGTTATAGGAGAAAACTGGGGGAGAAGAGAAAAAAAAGGTCAGTAATCTTTATGTAAATATAAGAAAGGACCAGGGGTGTCTGGGTGGTGCAGCCACCGATTTTGGCTTCAGCTAAGATCGTGACCTCAGGATTTTGGGATGGAGCCCCGTGCTGGGTCTCTCTTTCCCTCTCCCCCTGAGTCCTGCACTTTCCCTCTCAAATAAATAAATAGATCTTTAAAAAAAAAAAAAGAAGGAAAGAAAAGAAACGAAAAAGAAAGGACGTGAACACAGATACCAAGAGGAAACTGATGTGCTTTGGAAAAGCCAGTCTGTAAAGGTGCAGCGGCAAACATGGTCCTGAAATCAGCAGGGACTCTGTCACCAGTTAGGCTGGATGCTAGCTCTCCCACTTACTAGCTTGTGACCTTGGGGCAGTAACTTACTTTCCATGAGCCTCAATTTTCTCTTCGGTAAGTGCATATAATACCAAGTTAAAGGACTATTGCGCAGATTAAATATAAAACTCCTAAAACATATCAGATTCTCAATAAAGCAGGTGTTACTAGGATAATAATAGTAACTATTATTTCTGATAAAATATAAATTCAGACTGTGATGGGGAAAACCAGTAAAGGAGAGAAAACTAGGGAGACTTAAAACTGCATAAACAGTGCTTGCTTTGACAGCACTTACACTAAAATTAGCATAATACAGATAAGATAAGCACTGCCTCTGCTTGAGAATGACACGCAAAAAGTGCATAAACAGCCATTATGGAGAAAACCCAGGAAGAGATTCATTCAACAAACACCTACTGAGGGCCTATCTCTTAAGACACTTTGTTAGAGGCCATGGGAAAAATTCCTGATTGCCAGAGTCTTAGAATAAGGTCGAGAAGGGGAGATAAACAGAAATAACTATGAGGCAGTGATTTGTGACCTACAAGGTAAGAATTAGAGAAGTTCAGAGCAGACTTTAAAAAAAAAAAATCACTTCTTGGGGCACCTGGGTGGCTCAGTCACTTAGTGACTGACTCTTGATTTTGGCTCAGGTCATGAGCTCAGGATCCTGGGATGGAGTCCCATGTTGGGCTCCCTGCTCAGTGGCACATCTGCATGTCTTCCTGTCCCTTTGCACCTCGCCCACCCCCAACCCCACCCTTGCACACACACGAATGCTTGTTTTCTCTCCTTAAAATAAATAAATCTTAAAAAAAAAAAAAAAAAAATCAGGATCGCCTGGGTGGCTCAGTCATTAAGTGTCTGCCTTCAGCTCTGGTCATGATCCCAGGGTTCAGGGATTGAGCCCCACATTGGGCTCCCTGCTCAGTGGGAAGACTGCTTTCCCTCTCCCACTCCTGCTGCTTGTGTTCTTACTCTCGCTGTCTTTCTCTCTGTCAAATAAATAATAAAATCTTTTAAAAATTAAAAAAAAATAATTTCTTGCTCAAGAAGCAGACACTGAATTAAAACTTTAAACTGGATTTAGAGAGGAAAAAATAATTGTCGTAGAGAAAAAGACAATTAAAAAGATGGGGAAAGATAAGAGTGCTTTAGCACAGAACTGATGCAAGGAAACAGTGAGGGACAAAGCTCGAAAGAGGTATCGGTTGGATCCACACCATCGAGGGAGAAGGTCTAGAAAGACTCATTTTGTTTCCTGAATAGATAATAATTAGTCCATATGGTTCAAAAAAGCCCAAAAAGGAACCAGGTGAAAAGCCTCCCCATCCCTGTTTCCCAGCCCCCAATTCCTCCCTGTGAAGACAGCTCCATCATTTTCATTTGTCTCTGGTCTATGAAAGCTCTACTTTCTATAATATGTATTTCTGTAAATTTTTTTAAAAGAATGAATGGATATTATTTCTATAATAAGAAAAAAGATAAAACTCCCAAAGTTTGGAATTCTAAGCAATAGAAATGCAGTATAAAATGGTGCTCAAGAGCAGGGACTTTGCCTATAGTCAGAAGGTAAGCTATACAGGGCACCTGGGTGGCTCAGTTGGTTAAGCCTATGCCTTCGGCTTGGGTTATGATCTCAGGATCTTGGGATCCGGCCCTGCATCAGCCTCCTTGCTTAGCAGGAAGCCTGCTTCTCCCTCTCCCTCCCTCTCAATAAACAAATAAAATCTTAAAAAAACAAACCCCCAAAAAGACGTTCTAGGAATGCCATGTACAGCATGGTGACTATAGTTTCGTAACACTGTATTTTAAATAAATAAATAAATAAATAATGAAAATTAAAAAAAAAAAAAAAAAAGGAAGGTAAGCTATAAATCTCAGATCTTATCACTTGGGGACTTTGGACACTTAATTTGTGCCTCATTTCTTCATCTCTAAAATGAAGACAAATGTAGCACCTCCCTCAGAGTTTTTCTGAGGATTAAATAATCACCAGTAAAGTGTTTAGCATAATTCTGGTATAATACTGAATAGATGAAGGATATTATTCAGATTAGAGGAAAGCCATTATAATTAATGAAAAATAATAAAGCCTTAAGAGTAAAGATTTTACACCAGTGGCTATTAACTCTTTGTGTGTGAGGGGCACACATACTGCTCTGAAAATCAGATTATCTTGGTATGAATTATCTTGGTATAAAAACTACATGTACCCGCAACTTTGCATATTATCTCTGAATTCATAAATTCTCTGAAGTCTTGGACTTTGGGTTAAGAACATCTAATCTAAATAACTGTAAGTAGAAATAATTATTATAATTCAGACTTTACATTGTTGAATATAAAAAGGGTTATTTTATATTAGCTATCATTTACTGAAAATTTATTATTATATACCACGATCTACACTAAATGCATGTATCTCATTTAATTAAATATTTCTACTAACCCAAAGATGCAGATATTATCTTCATTTCAAAATAAGGAAACAAAGGAGCCTCAGTCAGTTAGGCATCTAACTCTTGATTTTGGCTCAGGTCATGATCTCAGGGTTGTGAGATTAAGCCCACATTGGGTTCCATGCCAGGCATGGAGACTGCTTAAGATTCTCTCTCTTGTGGGTGCCTGGTTGGCTCAGATGGTTAAGTATCTGCCTTTGGCTCAGGTCATGATCCTGGAGTCTTGGGATCAAGTATCACACTGGGTTCCCTGCTCAGTGGGGAGACTGCTTCTCCCTCTGCCTCTCTCTCTCTCTCTGTCTTTCATGAATAAATAAATAAGATCTTCAAAAAAAAGATTCTCTCTCTTGCTCTCCCTCTGCCCTCTACCACAAAAAGCCCCCCCCCCCAAAACCCAACAAAATAAGGAAACAAGAACTTAGAAAGTTAGTGACTCTCACTACACTAGTAATGGAAAAGCTAGGGTCTGGCTTGAAATTCATGTTTTTGTTATGTACACCAATGTATTAGTCATGCAAAAAAAAATAGTATTAAGTGCATGAAAAAAATAAAAGTTAGTCAAATACCCCCCTCCTAAAATCTTGTACAAACTTAGTCACATTCCTTAGCTACAACTTGCACGTAAAGGTAAAACTCCTCTTATTTCCCCTTGGAGTTCAGCAGCATAGTAGGTTCTAGAACCAGAGCACCTAGATTTAAATCCATTTTTCCACATATGACTTCGAACAATTTATAACCTCTCTGTGTCTCAGTTTCCTCAACTGTAAAATGAAGACAGTAGTATTTACTTCACAGGGTTGTTATGAAGTTTAAATGAGTATGTGTGGAACACCTAGGTGGCTTAGTGGGTTAAGCTTCTGCCTTTCGCTTAGGTCATGATCCCAGGGTCCAGGGATCAAGTCCCACATCAGGCTCCCTGCTCAGCTTCTCCCTCTGCCTCTCCCTCTGCCTGCTTGTGCTCTCTCTCTGACAAATAAATAAATGAGTATGTGTAAAACATTCAGAACAGAATAATTATTAGCTATTATATTATCCCATATTTGAACAAAACTCATGAGATACACAGTATATAACTTAAAACAATTTCCTATACTTAAGTGACTACAATGGCCACTCATAAATTCATTCCTATTGGAAGACTGTCACCCTAAGAAAAGAAAAGTGCTGCAGCAGTCACCTATGCCCACGTAGGCAGTGGGAGAGTGGAAATACCAACATCTTTGGAACCAGATAAACCTGAGTTCAAATTTTGGCTCTCCAAGTATTGGTCTTAAAACTTGACAGGATTCTTCCCCCTTGTGTCTTTTACTCTTCTCCATTCTAAGTTAGCACATTCTTGTTTTTTTAAAAATGACTCTGTGATGACACACAATATTCAAATTCAGACCAGAATTTCTAAATGATGGTTTGCTAAGAGTAACAAGTGACATTTTTAACGATGAGGTTCAATTGGAAAAAAAAAAATGCAGAGAAAATAGGCTCACAGTGAGCCTCTTAAAAAAATCTGTATCAATAAATGTACATGTGTGTGTATATCTGAAATACCACAGAAGATACAGAACACAGGAAAATCTTATTCTTGCAGATGTTATCTGTAGCAATCACAATATCCGTTTAACTGTCAAATCATGCAGATGTATCTTGGAAGGATTAACCATATTTTAAAAATTCCTTGGAAAGGAAAGCTTAAGACTGATTTTTCTTACTCCTTGAAGCTGATGTGGTGTAGATAGGTAAGTCCCTTGCTGCTCTTCTCAAAATTTCTTGTTGTCTTTCTTGGCTGAATTCCTTTTCATAACGTTCCTTTTCAGAATTGGACAAGTAGAACTATAAAAGGAGAAAACTATTAATTCTTTTCAATCTCATAAACTATGTTCAGAAAAACACAGTTTCATCCTGAACAGAAAAAAAAAAACATTTTCTTCTATGAAGGCAAAACTTATTTTCAAATTAAAGAAGCAAAATTGAGTATATTTTAAAACTTCATACCTTTCTTTGACAGAGTAAAAAATATTTGCCCTCTATATTAATGATGGGAAAAAATATGAACTAGAAAATTTTGCATCTTTGTATTTTACAGAAAAATTAAATACCCCCCCAACCAAAAAGGGCTTAATACATATATTTTCTATTAGTAGAAATTTTGATGTTTGAAAATTAGTGTCAAGAAATTTTTAATTTTTGGAAGGATGTCCAAGATTCACTTAGTTTGAGTAAGACGTTAAACCATAGGCACGGGGTCCAGGTATCTTCTACTCAAATATATCAATGAGCTCAACAAGTCATTCTTTTACTACTTTGTTTCAGCTTTTAAAAAGCTAACCAATAGGAGTGCTTTCTGTAAAATTATAAAGGATTGTCAAGGCAAGCAGAGTCTCCTTTTCTCAAAGAGTAATACCTTTATGGAGTTATTTTTTGTTTCCATTTCTTAAGTTTTTATTCCCATAGTGTGGCCAGCCTCCAGTTCATTTCTTAAATAGTATTTTCCTTACAAAGAACTTGTTTATAGTTGCTCCTCTTGTCGTCTTCCTAGCATCTCAAGGACCCTTAGTTTTATGTCTCTAATTTCATGTAAACAGAAGCTTTCAGTTTCTTTTAGTCTTTACTTCACAGAATTTCCTTTTAAACTAAAAATAGCTTGAGATTTTTCTTGATCATGTCCTATATTTTAACTGTACTGTTTCTCAATTTTTTTTTTTCAATTAAAAGCAAGGTTTTGCTTGAAAAGGCCTAAAGAGTCATGAATGGAGTTTTTATATTCAAGTATTTCGTCCTGCCTGCTAACTCCCTACCAAAGCTTTCCATACTCTTGATGCCTCATCATCAGTAATAACAGTATTAGTTTATCAGTGCAACCTCTCCTATGCCAAACAAGGCAACAGTTTGGCATAGTAGAAAGAGCTCTGGGCTGAGGAAACTGTGATGCCAAGAGGCTCAGGGAATTTACTAAGATTGCACAATTATTGGCAGAGCTGATATTAAAATGCAAGTGTTTTGAGTTTTACTCTAGTATGCCTCCCTCCATATTGCTAATGTAAAATAACTGTTCCGGCTTTTTACAGACTGTTACTCTAACCTGACCAAACACCACAGTTTAGGATGTAAAAGAGTCTATTTAGGTTACCTTGTCTGTTTCCCACAATCAAATCTTGATGGCATAAGAAACCCCCAAATTACTTCTAAGGCATGAGAAGTAACACAGGCAAACAGAACAGAAAGAGGTCAGAAAAGTTTCCCATAATCTTAAGTTGAACAGAAAGAGGTCAGAAAAGTTTCCCACAATCTTAAGTTGAGATCTTGGACATCACCTACGTAACTTCCCAGGGAGGTAGGAACCTTCAGACAACGTTTCTGAGATCCACTCCCTCGTGAATACTTCCGAAGACTGAAATACTTCCCTACTTAGCAAAATGGCCTATTCTCTTTTAAGAGAATTGTAACTTTAACTTGTTTGAATTAAAAGTTCTTCCCTGACATGATGTGTCTCTGAAGCATTCACAGTAGAGTATAAGAATCATTTGGTATGATGATAAATACATATATGGATAGGAGATGTTCCAATCAAATTTTACAGTTTCCTTGTAAAATCTGAACAGATTTCACATAGGGCTGTCCTATTTCTAGCCTGTGGTAGTATCCCAGCCTCCATATCATTACTTTTCCTTAAGGACTAATGTTATAAATTATGAAAAACTTAAAATGAAAATCTTAAGAGCCACCAGAATTTTAGATGAGGAATGGAACAAAATTTAAAATGGATTAGACTTAAGAAATTATTACTATACATCTAGTTTTCATTAAAAACTACAAAACAGAATTCAAACTATGAAATGCCATCATCTTAAATTCAGTGTTCAGATGGTTCAATTCAAATATATGTTAGCTACCAATTAAGAACTTGGCACTGCTCTGGGTAATAGGAATCCATAGAAGAATCAATACAGCCCTGCCTTCAAAAGCACATTTCTTACAGTCCAGTAGGAATGCTGGCTATGTCAATAAAGAAATACATCTTAAAAATAAGCATAGTACAATGTGTTACCAGGTATGATAAAAGCTCCCTTAGGAGGGTATAGGGACTATCAATGAAAGTCTCTTGGAGAAAGTGGTACCTATGCTAGGTTTTGAGAGGTAAACAGGAATCTTCCAGGAAAATAAGGAGGGAAAGAGAATCTTGGTAAAGGGAGCAGCATTTAGAAAGCACAAAGATGTGAATATAATGGTATAGTCAGGGCAAAATATTACTTGACTATCGAGTTCCAGGAAGAAGCAGTGGAGATGAAGTTAGTAAGATTTTAGTTCATGAAGGGTCTTGTGAGCATGACCTTTATCTTAGTGCTGACTGGCAACCTCTGTAGGATTACCAGAGAAGTGATGGGGCCATAATTTCTTTTTGCAGGTGATACTTAGTGATGGAAGATGCCTGCCAGCTCTTCACATACTGCTTCCCTCTCACCATTCACTCATTCACATATTTAGCAATCTGCCTCTTACATACAAGGTTGAAATCTAGGCAATGGGGATACAGCAATAAACAACAAAGATGCTTCCTTCAAAAAGCTAATACTTTAGTGAAAGAGATACTTTAAAAAGTCTTGGTTTAATAATGCCACTTCCTCAGAGATGTCTTTCACCATACTACCAAAGTAGTTTTTTCCCCTAATAGCTTTTATTGTTACTTTATTGTTATTTATTGCTATTTTATTGTTACTACATCATCATGTTCTTATTCTAAAAGTACCTAAACTTATCACAATTTATAATTACTTTGTTTACTTGTCTACCATCTGTCTCTCCTTTTAAAATGTTTAGGATCATTCTTTTTTGTTCTTTTTATTCCCAGAGCCTAGCACAGTCTGACAAACAGTAGGTGCCAAGTACTTGCCGATAAAAGATGAAAAATATACCCATATTTATAACTTAACTTCCCTAAAAATGTAGAGTTTTTGCTATTCAGACTCAACCAGTTTCCCTGGGTCTGATTCCCAAGTGTTGCTTTAACCTCTCAGCTCACAGAGTCCTTTTAATACAGTTACTTTAGGAGCTACCTCACAGCTTTGTAATTACTACAAGGAGCTATCTCAGCACACTGGAAGGTTATTTAGAAAGAGAACCATAAAATACTGCTCTTTCTTGTCAGTGCAGCTTAACTTAGCTGGCCCTTGATGATTTGATAATTAACTCATTCAATAGTGAACATCCACTATGTGCTAAATAGTGGGGAGAGAGATGTAGTGCAGGATACCATAAAAATGATCCCTGCCCACAAAAAACTGACAATAAGATGGTGCATACAAGTCAAGAGGCAATTAAGAAACTATATGGTAGGTTCTATGATGGGGAAGGCAAGAGCATGCCATAGCAGGGCCACTGAACATAGGCCTGGAGAATCAGCCGAACTTCTAGGAATAGGGGAGCATGAAGGATGAAGTGGATGTAAAGGCTTAAGCCCTCGGCTGAATGCTGAATGGATGCAATATGACAAACAACAACCAAAATAAATAAATAACATTTAAATGGCACTTCTTAAGTGCAATGTATTCTTCTGGGCACTTTACATATACTATTAAGTGTATATCATTATTATAAATATTACTAACCACATATATTATTATTATTACTTTTTTTTTAAAGATTTTATTTATTTATTTGACAGACAGAGATCACAAGTAGGCAGAAAGGCAGGCAGAGAGAGAGGAAGGGAAGCAGGCTCCCTGCTGAGCAGAGAGCCTGATGTGGGGCTTGATCCCAGGACCCTGGGATCATGATCTGAGCCGAAGGCAGAAGTTTTAACCCACTGAGCCACCCAGGCGCCCCTATTATTTTTTTAACCATATATATTATTAACTTAGTCAATACTTCCAACAATCCCGTAAGATATGTACTACTATCATCCTCATTCTACAGGGGAGAGCTGAGGTAAAGACATCTAAGGCAAGTCTCCAGGGCCGCATGGCTAGTAAGTAGCAGAGGCAGGAGTTGAACCTGGGCAGTCTGACGCCAGAGTCTGAGTTCTTCACCTCTATACTATACTGCTTCTCAGAAGTATTACCAATTGTTTTTATTATACTTTTTAAAAGTTTATTTATTTAAGTAATCTCTATACCCAACATGGGGCTCAAATCCATGACCCTAAGATCAAGAATTGTATTCTCCTATGACTGAGCCACCAAGGCACCCCTCTTTTTCTATTTTTTATTTCCCATAACAAGAAGTATTTACTTCCGTTCATGCTATGTTTTCAATAGCCATCACTAGTAGTAAGTAATTAAACAAAATTAATTCCTTTTCAACTTGGATCTTAAGACATAGATGGCAGTTTGAGGGGCGCCTGGGTGGCTCAGTCAGTTAGGCGACCGACTCTTGGTTTCAGCTCAGGTCATGATCTCACGGTCATGAGATTGAGCCCTGTGCTGGGCGTTTGGCGAGGAGTCTGATTCTCTCCCTCTGCCCTCTCCTGCTACCATGCATGTGCTCTTTCTCTAAACATAAATCAATCTTAAAAATAAAAAAAGATAGGGAAGGCAGTTTGTAACATAATTTTAAGAGTTGACTAACTATTACCAAATGTCTGATGAATATATTTTAAGAAACACAAAGTCTGATTGATAATTTCACGACCCCTTAAAACAAAAGCACCCAATAGAAAAAAAATGGGCAAAAGACTGTTTGGCATTTTCTACTTAATGCTGAATGTACACACAAAATATGATCCAGCATTCCAATCGGAGGCACCTACTATATACATATATATGTATATGTAGCTATATATATATGGATACATAACTAGATAACTATATATATCCATATATATACACATTTATGTATGGATGTATATATGTAAGTATATACATAGGTATATGCAATAGAATGTTTATAGCAGCCCTCTTTGTAACAGCCTTACACTAGAAGCCACCCAAATGCCCCTGCCCATCAACAGCAGACCAGTTAAATAAACTAATATTTACTACAACTGAATACCAAACAATAAAGAGAATGAGTGCTCCACAAGTACATGCAACAACATGGATGAACATGCAAACAGAATGTTAATGAAAGAAGCCAGAGACATAAACACACAGAGTATATGATTCCATTTATGTAAAGGGCAAAACCAGGCAAAACAAATTGATGCTATTAGGAGGCAGGAAAGTGGGTTTGTGTGGCTGAAAGGGAGCATGAGGAGGCTTATGAGATGCTGGTAATGTTCTGTTTCTTCAACTTGGTGGTGGTTGCTCAAGGGTGTTAGGTTTGCGAAAATCTATCAGGTGTACACTTACATATACTTTTCTGTATATATGTTTCATAAAAAGTTAAATGGAAGTTGATATTATTTTAAACATATGGTCTATAATTTTTAACAAATTTTGATGAATTTTGCATGAGTAGAAATAATTATCATCATCATCTAATATTTGATTGCCAACCATGTGGCAGGTACTGTGTTAAAAGATTTATGTGAATGAATATCACTTAATCCTCACAAACATCTTACAGAAATAGGCACTATTGTTAGCTCCATTTTCCAATAAGAAAATGGAAGCTCAGAGACATTAAGTAATATGTTAGAGCAGAAAATCAAACTCAGATAATCCTAACACCAGAGGGTACATTCTTAGCCATCTAATTATACCAGATTTCATCAGTTATATGAAGGCAAGAGAGACATCCTGGTCTTAAAACTTACTCTACATAAATATTTACATTATTTTCCCAATGGAACCTCAAATTAGAAGAAACACTAGTCATATTAAAGTATAACAAACAATAGCTAGACAATTTGTTTCCCACAATTAAAACTTTCTCTAGTTGCAGCATATTTCTTTAGGCCTGAGAAAATATGTTAAGGTGTCCAAATATACACTCCACTTTTCTAACTCAATTCTGTCCCTTAAGATTTTTTAGTCCAGTAAAAAAAGGATGTCTTTAAGACTAAATAGCATGGCAGAAAAATACCAGTACTAAGTAAAGTATGATTGGTCTTTTAGTGTGCTAAGTCAGTGGGTTGTATCTGAGACCAGGCTGATGACTCACATTCACAATGTGGAGTCACCAAGCAAGTTCATGAACGGAAACAGAACAAATGCATTATGTAGTAAAGTTTTAACAAAGGTAACACAGGGCAAATAATTCCATAATTAGCTACAGCATTTGGTAATTTACCAACATTAAATTTACCTCTTTGGAGGGGGAAGCGGGAGATGTGAAAATTGTCATCCAATAGGACCATACAAACATAACAAAGAACAGATGGAAAGCCACAAGGTAAACAACGGCCTTTCCTGGTAAATAAAAACAAATAACATTTCATTGAATCCAGGTGAAACAGGAAAAAGCATTACATTAAAACACAATATTTAGGGTCAGGAGGTTTAATCCAATAAATACCTTAATTAAAATCTACCGAAGACATCAAATTTATAAACTCCTTTACCTGAATGACCTACCATTACAGATATGAAGAAACATTCAGTTCCTGTATTTAAGGGTTATCAGCCTGGTTTATAAGTAAAGACTATAATCTGGATTTGTTATTATTGAACTGCTGAACATTTAAGTTGAAACACCTCCTTCACTCACTAAATTTAAAGCTCTTCCTACCAGTATTTTAAATGACTTAAAAATTATTTAAGACAGTGCTCACTTCAGCAGCATATATACTAAAACTGGAACGATACAGAGAAGATTAGCATGGCCCCTGCACAAGGATGACACGCAAATTCATGAGGCTTCCATATTTTTTCCAACACCAAAAAAAATTATTTAAGACAGATTCCATCACCATGAATGTTAAATTCAAGGAACACAAACTGAAAGTAATAAAGGAAGTTCCCACCACTGTGAATAATGAGTAATCTAAAAAACTCAGTTCCTGGATTAACCAGAAACATTATGCCAGATTTCATTCTCCTTTCAACATAGGCTAATGAAAAATTTTTAGCCATTTAAAATTTCTGCAATAACTGTTTCACAAGTGGATTAGTGTAAACATTATAACATCTTTAACTCCAAATATTAACTCATTACTGATATAACTTAGAGCTTTTTGTTGTGTTCTATAGTTTTTCTTTTTGAAAGAAGCAGGACTGGTTTCTATAGGAAGAAAGAACTATCTACCAGGTGCTTAAATTTTTTGTTTGGAATGAGACACCTACAAATCCACTGAAAAAAACAAAGCAGACACAAGCTTCGAAGTTTGAAATTCTACTCATTTTTTAAGTTCAGATCAAATATTACTTCTTGCACATAACCCTTCTCCATTACTTTTAGAATTCATTACCTCTTTATACTATACTGCCCCTCAATATGCCCAGACTTCAAATAAAGCACTTAATTTGTTTTATTTAAGTTAGTTGCTTAATATTGATGACCTAATACATGCAAAACATTTAAAACAGTGCCTGGCACATAATTAATCCTTAATAAATACTGGCCATTTAAAAAAAGTAATCTCTACACCCAACTGGGGTTCAAACTCACAACGCTGAGATTAAGAGTCACACGCTCTATTGGCTGAGACAGCCAGGCACCTCAATACTGGCTACTATTATTATTACTATCCAAGAACCTTTCCTCTCAAAACTATCCAAGAACCTTTCCTCTCAAAGTCTGGTTCTTTTTGCATGTTCCGTATTACCATGTTTCCCAAGCTTAAGGAATCGTAAAAGTTTTCACTGGTCCACAGTGAAATGAGAGACACTAAGAACAAGGTAGTGAAGTTTTTATAAATCTAAGATGTATTCAATTCAAAGTATTATCCTTCCTTTCATCTGAGGTCATTTCTCCTTTCACTTTTGGTTTTAAAAAATGTTCTTTTTAAATAAAATAATGATAAAAAAAAAAATCAACAACTTGTTGGACCCAGCCTTTTCTTTTACAATTACACTGGGGCACATATGGTCTAAGAGAACAGAACCATAAGTCCCACAGGAAGCCAGGGCCCAGTAACTCTTCACATCGCACAGCTGATCATCACCAAGCTCCTCAAATTCTAGTTCCTCTCTCATTATTTTCACTGCCAGTGTAACAGCTCATAAACTGTTGCTTAACTCATTTGATCACTGCAAAGGCAACTGGTCTTCCTCCCTCCAGTCCATCTCAATGGCCAGTATAAATGTGTTGTTCATAGTTTCTACTCCACCTTGGCTGTGATATTCCTGGGAAATAACTCCATGTGTATGACTCATGACTGATGAATACATTATAAAACACTGGGACTTCCTGGTACCATATTTGACCACAGCTAATCAAATCACTACTTCCACCTACTGAAGGCCTATTAGAAGGTATATAATGATGTGGACCTTATTTCTAACCCTCACTGTAGTCCTGTAAGATATTCTTTCAGTTTACAAATGTGAAAACTGAGGTGCAGAGAATTTAATATCCTGCCCAATGTCACTTAGTAAACGATAAAGTCAGGATTCAAACCCATATCTGCTTGATAAAAACCCAAGGTTCTTTTCATTATGTCATACCTAGAAGTATCTTTTCCTCCATTTTACTCATCATCTTAGTCGTCACATCTTATTTCAGAGCCAATATCTAATACCAAGACAAAATCCTTACCAAAACTTCCTTCTATCTTCAAATTTGCTTTCTTTTCATGTCCACTAAAGCTGATTATCATCCTCATTGAAAATTTTGGCTTCTCAAAATCTGCATTCTCTACTCTCTCCATTCTCTCCAGGGTGAATCTCATGGTCTACTTAATGGATTCAATATCATTCCTTCATTTGATCTTCCTTTGGACAAATATACTGGAGCTCAGTCTCCTACTTTTATATGAACACTGAGGTCATTTCCCGAGTTTGCAATACTATCTTCACCTAGCTCACTGCACTTTTTAAAATTTTTGCCTGGCCCCCATATTCAATCAAGTTTGTCAATCCTCAGCTGTAGTCTATTGCAGAGCTTCAAGATAAATGGTAACCTCGAGGTACTTTAAACTTCTTAATCATTTAGTTACTTACAACTAAGGTCAGCATATTAAATAATATACTTAAAAAATATTTTTTAAGACATTTAAAATATTTTTAGAGTATTTCTGCTCTCCACAGGTCCAAAAACAAAATGGTTGTCTGCTTTAAAAAAAATCTTAATCCTCAGTTAAAAAAAAACAACTGATAAATCTCTTAGCATCATGCCTGGAATGTAATAAGTACTTAACCAATGGAAAATATCAAATTATAATGTAAAGAATAACAGGAAATGCTGCTTTTACATGAATTTGAAATGTTAATAAGAAAACTTCTGATCACATATATATGCTATAAACCACTGGTTAGAAATAATAGATAAAGGGGTGCCTGCCTGGCACAGTCAGCTGGGAGGACAACTCTTGGTTTCAGCATGGGTTGTTATCTCAGAGTCCTGAGCATGGAATCTACTTGAGGTTCTCCCTCTCCCTCTGCCTCTCCCACTCGTGCGTTCTCTCTCTCTCTCTAAAATAAGTAAATAAATCTTAAAAAAAGGAAGTAATAAAGTGGATATAGCTAAAAGTGCAGCATAGATTACAAAATAAAAATACTATGATCAACAACAACAAAAAAAGAAGTGATAAAAGCTTAGTTAATGAAGCAAATTAAATCAAAGCCAAAAAAAATCTGAATCTACAAATCAAAAAATCTGATTAAAAAATCATCTATGAGGCACCTGGGTGGCTCAGTAGGTTAAAGCCTCTGCTTTCAGCTCGGGTCATGATCCCAGGATCCTGGGATCGAGCCCCGCATTGGGCTCTCTGCTCAGCGGGGAGCCTGCTTTCCTTCCTCTCTCTCTCTGCCTGCCTCTCTGCCTACTTGTGATCTCTGTCTGTCAAATAAATTATAAAAAAAAATCACCTATGAATGAATTTAAAAAAACAAACAAAAAACAACCTCGTCAAAAGACTCTTTGAAAGACATGGGGAAAACAGCTCTAAGAAATAATGAGACAAGTTAGATGTTCCTTCATAAGTACTTCAGAAATTCTCTGCTTTCTGTATATGTATTTTCACATACAGAAAACAGTTTTGATTTAAAGGGAGAAAATCAATCCTACCAAGACTGAGTCTATATTTATTCCTCCTCAACCCTGACTAGAATTGAGAAATCAGATTCAAAGGCAACTTGAGATTTACATGCTTAATGCCTAATTATTTCCAATAAGAATAAATATTTATTAATAATTTCTAACTATTCAACTGTTTTAGAAATCCCCTGGATTTTCATATCTCAAGTCAAATTTCATTTTTGAAATTTGATCTCAACAGACTTAATACTTTCTTTTAGCTTGGTGAAATTCTGAGCAATGAATTTTTCCCTCTAGGCATTATCTCATAACCTAGTCCTTATAAAAAGTAGAATTCCCTTTCAAAATGAACTAGTAATACAGTTTATAAATTTACAGTCTGGTTATTTTGTTAAATATCTGTGAGTAGTAATGTACTATTTTTAACAAATATATAAATAAGAGAACCATTGATAAAATTTAGGCATCATGAAACAAAATCTGCTCCTCAACCCTAGCTAGAACTGGTATTAAAAACCTTTGAATCACTACTATCAAGCATTCTGAAGAATATACAAGGCATACATATATACATAAATATATTAGAGAAGTTTGGGTGCTAGATGCCTTACAAAATAACAGCTATTTTAATTTATATAAATAACACAAATGAAAATATATTGAATAGGAATAAACACAATACTAGATCTCCTTTTAATTAACTTTAAAAACATTTTCTTTCTGAAAACAAAAACACATATAGTCATCACTAAATAAAAAGCATGTGGGTCACAATTAGGATATCCTAAGTATTCTACTTAAATTGAGACTTAAAGTGTCTTACCATTTTCTCCATTTCCAGAGAGGGTAACTAGAATAGAAGAAAAATAGTGAATAAATAATATACTTTAGAACATTTTGTACATACATTTTATTTCAGATTGACTACTCTTCTTAATATCATTTTCACAAAAATAAAATTTAGTTATAAAATGTAAACACTAATGCAAATCCAGGATTGCACTTAAAAAACCCTAAAAACACTAAAATGCCAAACATAAAATTTTTATCAACACTGCAATCACATTAAAATTTTTTCAGACCCTTGGTAATTTTAAGTCTATCAATATGGTTATAGTTAGTTTTCTTTAGCTCTTTCCTTATTGCCCTACAGAATGAATAGGACTTTCATCTATGGTGCTCATGTCATCAGTCTGTGATGTACCTCACCAAACTTTGTAAAATCTTTTATTATACTTATATTACTTATATATACTTATATTATATTAGACTTATATTGTCTATATATATATAGACAAGTTGTGTTTTTCTATAGAAAAAAGTACAGAACCTATCCATGTAATTTTTAGAGTGTTTTTTATTCCTAGCCCAAGACCCTGGGAATTGCTATTTATCCTTTCTCTCCAGATAGTCCTAATGGCCTCTAGGTCCTGTTAATTCTACCTATGCTCTTCAAATCTGTCATTACTCTCAATTTGTCTTACTGCCTTATTTCAGGCTCTCCTCAAACGTAATAGCTTAAAGAGACTTTCTTTTTTTTTTTTTTAATTATTTTTTTTAACATATAGTGTATTATTTACCCCAGGGGTACAGGTCTGTGAATCATCAGGCTTGCACATTTCACAGCACTCACCATAGCACACACCCTCCCCAATGTCCATAACCCAACCACCCTCTCCCTACCCCTCCACCCCCCAGCAACCCTCAGTTTATTTTGTGAGATTAAGGGTCTTTAAAGAGACTTTCAACTATAAGCTTAATACACCTCATTATAGCAAATCTGATGGCTAAATACACTTCAACACCTCCCAGTCGCTTACAGAATAAAGTTCAAAATCTTCAGGGTAGCAACTATAGTCCCCCTATGATCTACAATCTGTCTACCTCTCCAATCTGTCATTTGCCTATACCTGTGGTTTAATTATCCTGAACAAATGGCAGTTTCCTTAATGCAACAAGCAGTTTCATAGGTGCTATGCCTCCCCTACTCATCCTCCAAGGCCCAGTTTAAATAGTCACCTCTGTAAAACTGTCCTGAGTCCCTCTTTAGGCAAAGTACTCATTTATATCGCCACTGTTCATTCTTCCATCTCTACCATGCCACCTCTTTTTTTTTTTTTTTTTTTTTTTTGGTGCAATTACTTGGTAATATGTCTGTCTCACCCTACTGGACTACACAAGTGTGGTATCCTCTCTTAAAATAACAACAACTCTGGGATGCCTGGGTGGCTCAGTGGGTTAAGCCTCTGCCTTCAGCTCAGGTCATGATCTCAGGGTCCTGGGATCGAGCCCCACATCGGGCTCTCTGCTCAGCGGGGAGCCTGCTTCCCCTCTCTCTCTGCCTCCTTGTGATCTCTCTGTCAAATAAATAAATAAATAAATATATTTAAAAAAATTTTTTTTAAAAAAGAATATTAACAACTCTAACAGTTATTATTAGCTCTATTTGACAGATAAGTAAGCTAAGGCTCAAAATAATTAAATGACTTGCCTAAGATCACAGAACTAGTACATGCAGTGTAGACAGATATCTGAGCTCAAATCTACCTGGACTTGTGTTCTTTCCTATAGTGTCTCTTACCTTATTCATTGTTTTAGTTCTAAAGCCTGGCATACAGTAGCAATGCTTCAGAAATGTTTGTTAATTTGATAACTGTTTTTGACTAAAATCTGTTGATAAAACAGAGGAGTACCCGGACGCTTCCTTAATAAACTAAAATATATCTACTTCAATCCCCAAACCAGCAAAATTTAATGAGAAACACTCAGAAAGTAGTCCCACTAATGGTTAAGAAATAAAATAAGCAAGTTCATGAATTTTTTTTAAAGCATTGTTTTAGAGAGGCATAGGGCTTCTTCTCAATCTATCTCAGGTCAGCTGGCAGAACACAAGTAGTTAGATCCTGGGCTGGTCCCCTCTGGCCTCACAAAACATTTCCCATTTATACTAATATACATTAAAAATATAATTTTCAATATTGCCATACTGTAAAATGATTGGGAAGCACTATACAAGGTACACAATTCTGAGAAATATATTAGTGGTATAAAAATGGAAAAGAAGGAAATGTATCACTATTTGCAGATTATAAGACTATATGCCTTTATAGTCAAAGAAAACCAACTGAAAAACTATTATAAATAAGAGGTGGTAGTGGTATACCGAAATCAGTAGCTTTCCAGTAAACATAATCACTATATAGAAATTATAACTGGTTTTATTTATAAAGCCACCTAAAAAGATAAAATTCCAGAGACAGACTTAAGAATTGAGCAAGATCTACACAAGTGCTCTGCACAAGGCGTTCACTGATACCACATGGGGAAGGATGCATTATCATTGCCCAGGGGGAGGGTAATGGAAGTCTACCCACTGCCTAGGTCTTCACCTTCTCTGACACTACCCCAGTAGAAAAGTGGGGAGATACAAAAGGTGTGCCTTGTTACAGCTGAGCAAGGGGCAAGTCTAAGCTCATACTCAGTCTCTGCTGGAGAAAGTGGGGACAGAGTGCCATTTTTCCAATGTTTTTGGCTGAAGTAGGGCAGTCACTCTCTAGTTTGGTCTTGCTATAGGTTGCTTCTTTCCTGACTGACTAAAGAAAACCAGCCTTTCTTGGGGCTTTTCATCTGTGCTCTTTCGTGTTTCCAGGTTGCCAGCTTCTCAAGCACGCAGGATAGGATATATAAGGCAAAAAAGAAAACCCAGGGAATTCATCACCATTACCATTTCTCAGGTACCAAGGTCCCCAGATGATCTGCCTATCTCCATGTGTCAAAATTGTCTTATGTTTGCTTTATGCACAATATCCAAAGGTTTTAGTTGTACTTACCAGAAAAAATAGGAAGAGTATGTATTCACTTGTCCTGGAACTGGAAATTCTAATTAACAAATTGTTCTCTTACTGCTGAGTAGTATTCTACTGTATGGAGGTACCACAACGTGTTTAGCCATCCACCAACTGATAAGGCATTTGCTTTCGTTTTTTTGCCTATTATAAATAGTCCTGCACAAGCCGTTGGGTGGACATATATTTTCATTATTGGGGTAAATATATAGATATAACATTGTTGGATCTATGTTTAACTTAATCAGAAACAGCCACACTTTTTTCACAAGTTGTTGTATTGTTTTACATTCCCACCAAAAATGTATGAGTTACAGGTTGCTTCACATCCTTATCAACACTTGGAACTGTCGACCTTTAAATTTTTAGCTATTCTAAAAAATATACAGTGATATCTCATTGTGATTTTGTGTTTCCTTAATGACCAATGATGTTGAGTATCGTTTCACATGCTTATTGGCCATCCCTACACCTCTTCTTTGTGAAGTTGTGTGTTGAAATTGTTGGCTACTTTTAAATCATTATCTCCTTGTTATTGAATTGTGGGCTCTTTATATACTCTAGATATGGTCCTTTAACAAATATATTCTGTAACTATTTCCTTCTAGTCCATATTTTGTTTTTTCATTTATTTAGCACTGAGTTTTGAGGAAAAGAAAATTTAATTTTAATGAGGTCCAATTTATCAATTTTTTCTTTTATGGTTCATATTTTGTGTCCTTTTTGGGAAATCTTTGCCAACCAAAAGATACAAAGAATTGCTCAGGTTTCCTTTTAGAAGTTTTAGAGGTTTTACATTTAGGTATGTGATCTATTTTAAAAGCTGATTTTCGAAAATATGGTATAAAGGGTTGAGATTACTTTTATTGTATATAGATGGCCAATAGTTCCAATATTGTTAGCTGAAACCCCTTTCTCTACTGAATTGCCTTGGGACTTTTGACAAAAATTAATTAAAAATTAAACTAATATGTGCAAGGGTTTATTTCTGAACTCTGTTCTGTCCTATTGATGTTTACGTCTATTCTTATCCCAATACTACAGGATTTGATTACATGTAGCTCTTAGTAAATCTTGAAATCAGATAGTGTGAGTCCTCCAATTCGCTCTTTTTCAAAGTTGGCTATTTTAGGTCTTTTATATTTCCATATAAATTCTAAGCTTATCTTACTGATTTCCTTTAAAAAAAAAAAATGCCTGCTGGGATTTTATCTGGGATTGTGTTGACTCCCTAGATCAATTCAGAAAGAACTGACATCTTTACAATAATCAGTCTTCTATTCCATAAACACAGTGTATCTCTTCATTTCAGATTTTATCTCATCAATACACAAAACCGTGTATGTATTTTGTTAGATTTATCCCTAAAGTAGTTGTTTCTGATGATTATTGTGTTTAAAAAATTTCAGTTTCTAATTCTTATTAGAAATATAACTGAGTTTTATTGATCTTGTATCCTGTGAACTTGTTATTAAATTCACTTATTAGTTTTTAATAGTATTTTTGTGTATTCTCTGGAATTTTCTACATAAATGATTTATCTGTTAATTAATAGTTTTAATCCCTTTATTATCTATGTATGTGCATAACACATACTTTTTTTTAAGATAAAACACCTTATGAGTTCATACTATTATTTCAAATTTAAGTTTGCAACGTTTTTATCATTCATCTTTTAATTGTATGGTTTTTTTGTTTGTTTTTCTTACCACTGAGAATCCTGTTCTCAAGGACAGAAAGGATGAAGAATTAGAATACCACATTCATTTTTTTCTTTTTGTTTTTACTGCTTCAATAATGGGTATGTATAATGTAATAGATTTTATTCACTTTCTTTATCCCATATTGCCCACCCAACAGCCTCGATAATGAGACCAATATGATTACTGAAAATGATTATTTAAATAATTTTTTACATTGTTGTCTATTTTGTAACAGCTATACTATAGCTACTTTGTTAGATCATATATCCGTTACCAACTATAGCCTCTCTTCCTTATTACTA